GTCGGTGCATTCCTGATATTGCCAAAGATTGTCCAGAAGGACAAATTTACGACCCAATTGAAAAGAAGTGTGTATGTGAACATTTTCAAGAATGTAGACCAGGATATTGTTGGGATGATGAACTCTGTCGGTGCATTCCTGATATTGTTAAAGATTGCCCAGAAGGACAAATTTACGACCCAATTCAAAAGAAATGTGTATGTGAATATCCCCAAGAATGCAAACCTGGATATTGCTGGGATGATGAGCTATGTCGGTGCATTCCTGATATTACAACTTCACCATCATTACCACTTTGTGATACTTATCTCGAATGTAGTCCTGGTTCAGTATTCGATGAGATTCTATGCGAGTGTTTAGTTAAACCAGAACCATCATGCCCACCTGGCTACATACATGATGACGAAGCTTGCAGGTGTGTATGTGAAAATTACGTTGAATGTCAAAAGAACTTTGTTTGGGATGACAACACTTGCCAATGTGTATGCCCAGGTGGCGAAATTTGTGAAGATGGTTTTGTTTTCAGCAAAAAACATTGCGATTGTATTTGCGAAGAAAAAAAATGTGACTACGGATATGTTTTTGACGAGAAAAGATGCATTTGCGCATGCATTCAAGAAATTCCTTGTGAAAAGGATCATATTTGGGATGAGTTGATATGCAAATGTGTTCCTAAGCCACACCCAGAATGTGATCCTGGTTATATCTACGATCATACAAGATGTGAATGTGTATGTGAAAAAGTAATACCTTGCGATACAAACCATGTTTTTGACGAAAACGTTTGCAGTTGTGTTTGTCCCAGAATTTCTCAATGCAGCGATGAAAACTGGAATCATGAAACGTGTACTTGCGATCACAGTCACTCGTAATCTAATTTAATTTTTGTCTATTTTGGGAAGAAGATGAACGAGACATAAAGTACTATTAAATTTGTTTTCATCGTGAAGCCTTAGTAATATGTAAAGAAAATAAACAGATGATTAAACATGCAAAAAAATGTGTTTCATTAATTGTTATCTGAGTATTTCGTTCAATGCTCGGCAAACGGAATTTGCTTTCGTTACCAGTCGGTAAAGTGAAGTGATATATATAGTGCAAATAAAAATCTCAAAGCATGCTCCTGAAAGTGCTGAATTATTTCCTGAAGAATGGGTAAGAAAAAAATTATTTTTAATGCATACAGACTTTTATCTTATTGCATTATGTAATTTTATTGAATATCATTGATGCCACATTGAGTTAAATTATGATGAAAGCAAGAGTAATTAATGTTGCCTACATTTTGGGGAATATTTTTTTGATTTTGCCAACAATTCAAATTGTGACGAAGCTAAGATCGAAATAGCGCTGAAACGTATTATTTAATTTATAACTAATATGCTGTGATGCGGCTTTGGAACTTTTGACAGATTCTGGTCATATTTAAAAAACAATTTTAACGAAAACATAACTGAATTTACACTTTGCTCTCATTATTTTTGTGCTAACCAGTTTGATCTTGTTCTTTACACAAATTAATGGAAATATGACTTCTTATCAATAGAAGAAACAAACAATTACTTATTAGATGACAATTCATATTCATGCTCCAATTAGACACGCCACGCGTATTCCCAGACACTACAAATCCTAAGGGCAATAAGTCATTGAAATTGGAACATAGACAACTAAGCATAAAAGTCTACTGAAATATTTATGTATCCTTGATTGTGATTCGCTAAAGACAGAGTCACCAGATTACCACAAATATGTTTTCATTTAACGGTGGCAATAAAACGAAACTTAAAGAATATGACGACACGAGAACTCCACGAACAAAACGGGTTTCAATGTCATTATCTTATCGTTTTCTTGTTGTTGCTAATACACAAAATATAAAGTCGTTATTTATATATCAGAGGCTTGACAATCAACAGTCCTAAAATAAACTTCTTTCCTAACTCATTTAGATGTGTAATCAGCAAAAAAAACTTTGTTTTGACAAAACGTTTCATTTTATCCTCGCATAGCAACGAAGTCGTGAAAACTTCAAATAACCATGCATGAAGTTGTTTTGTTTTCTTTCCACAAAATAATTTTATGGGATCGACTTTGTGTAGGTGTGTGGAGTTGTAACTGTGTGTAGTTCAATCGTCTTTCATACTATTTATCAGAAAACGGTTTTTAAAAATAACATTCCCAATTCTTTCCCAAATGGGGGGCGCGTGTACAAAAAGGCAAAGAAATATTTTTATTTAATCAGCGAATCCCAACAGTAAACTCTGGATGATCAAAAGCTGATAACATAGGGACGTGAACTCGTAATGGATTTTGTTGTTTACTTGAAATCTTGGACTATATTTTGTGTTGCCATCGGATTGATGAACTTTTGAGGTTGGACACTGAGAAATGATTTGCTAAAAATAAATCGTATCGTGAAACTTTTTCAATTCTTTCATAAATGGAAATTTTATGAACTGATCATATTTGAAACTTATTATATAAATTTTAGTCATCTATTCAATTTAGATTATCATAAAGAAACTAAAGTCTGTCGATAATTGGGTTATTGATCGCTTTATCTCTTTCATAAACATTGCGGACTTTTGTCTTTAATACTAAACTAGCTGATTACAGAAGTCTTTATGATTCAGTTTTATTGATAAATGTTTCAGTTATCTCCGTTACCTGTTGCCAATGACAAATTTCAAATGATTTTAAAATGAATCAATTTCGATATCTACAAATGAAGTCCATAAGCTAACTTTAAATTTCATATAAAAAATATCACATTTGTTTTGATTTGTCAACCGCTCATGTTTAGTCTGGTTCCTTATGAAAATATTTAAAACGAGGATGAATTTGCGATAATAAACATCGCGTGAACAAAAAAAATCGGAGGCTTGACTTCACAAGTCTTCGAAAGTCTTCTTTATTCTGTTGATAATGCTGAGATTTTTTCTTCACATCGTCTCGACAATTGCTGGCATAAGCTCGTAAGTTCAAGATTCAAAGAGAGATAACAAAAGATGGACAAAGTCTCAGCTTCAACTTCAATTCACTGGACTTTAAATCTTATTTATATGTCGTCCACTTCACAATGTTGTTTAATTACAAAATAGCTGAGTTACAATGCAAAGTCCATGAGACGCTTTCTATGATCGATGCATTGCTTTTACATCAGAGCTTTGCGAGCTGTAAAGGTGAACTTGATTCATGTGACCTGACTATGACATGGAAAAATATTTTCCTACTTTTTTATTCTTTCTGACGCAAGTTTTCTACAGCTTTTTAAATGCATCTGACAGTTTTAATTACTGAGAGAAGGATGTAAGTTGATATGACGTTAAACTTTAGAAGGAATTGAATTTCGTTTACTTTCACTTAGAATTCTCTTTACTTTTCAATGGAAAATTTTTATAAATAGAAGAAGAAGAAAAATATTGAAACGTTAGAAAAAAAAAGGTCGTAACGAGGGTTGAAATAAATCTGCTGCACTTTAATGACATGTACCGCAGGGAAAGGAAAATAGCAGGTTTAATTTACCTGCAGTGCCATAGACCATCGAAGGACATTACTGACTGCTTGTATAGTTAAAAAAATAACAAATCCTACCTTTTTCTCTTTCTAATTTGTATGGAAACTATGACAATAAAAATCTCGCATAATTATTGTGACTGACTTGTAATAATCAAGTAAAGTATCTCAGGTCAGAATTTTTAAATATAAGGTAATTAAAGACCCAAACCAAAGATGAAATGTAGTTAGAACTAATGGAAAATTTTTAGAATTTGCTAGTGGAAAGTTTTTAGAATTTATGTTTCATTTTTCGTATCTTATGTTTGAGATTTGTAAGCATAAACAGCAAATTTTTTTTTGTTTTTTGTTTTTTTGAAAAATATGTTCATGTCAATAATAATCTATCTTTATTCAATATTTGTGTACCAGTGAAATCTAGAAATTTGTTTTAAAAGAGTTTTGTGAAAGAAATGTTTGTGTCTTTATCAATTTTGAAACTGGAAGTCATACAGATGTTGATATTAAGATTCAAAGCAAGTCATCCGACTTGTTAATCTATAAGGCTTCGTATGAAAATTTTGACAATTTTGTAAGTTCTTTTTATTCTTTGTCTCATGTTGAACCCAAACCAACAAAATTTCCCTCATTCTGAAAAACAAGTCGATAACATCTGAAGTTAATTTCAAGGTTGCAAATGTGTTTCAATTTTCTCATTCGTCGTCATGTCATAATCTATCCAATTGCGTCAGCCAATTCGAAATTATCATCAAATTTCATTTGAAATACTGTTGACCCGCTAAATTAAGAACTTTAAACCTTTTCAATCTGATAATGAAGCAGGAAGACGCACGTAGTTTCTGTTATCTTCCACCAGCATCCAGAAATAACGCGAATATTTAAATGAGCTTGTTTATTAGTAGTTTGAATGCGATGAGTGTAATCAACAGCCACGTAGTATCATATTCTGAAAACATGTATACGTTCAGAATAGCACACAAGCATGTACGACTCGTAAACATTTATGAACTTTCGTCACCAGATTCTATCCATGTGACGTGGAATAGTTAGACTTAGACAACATGCTTTAAAAATATCAACAAGCACAAAGCAGATTGAAAATTGTTTAAAGTAGAATTTTGACTTCGCAAAAATAAAAATACATGAAAATATCTACACACGCTCATACGAAAATATTGAAAACAACAACACATGATTGGGGGCTCGTCGACATTCGTTCTCGGTGTTTACGATCAACCGGCTTGACGACTACGCCGACGACAGTTTCGTTCTTTTTCTTTCTCTTTCTATCTGTGTTCTTCTCGTTTCTTCTCGTCTCCAACTGCTGATAACAAAATGTTTTTCTGTATAAAAGGCATTCGCATTCGAGCCTTCAATTCATTCTTCGTATTCAGCTCTAACAAGCAACAAGTAGAAAAAGAAGTTATAAGAGAAATTCTAAAAAAGAAATTCTAGTTATAAATAAAATGATAAAAAGTTTCAAGACAAATTAAAAAAAAATTCAAAAGTTTATCCTTAAAGTATAAAAAAATTTCTTTGTGATTATTAAAATTTTTGTTTGCTGTGAAAAGTAAAAAACTCAAAGAACAATGCCTGAAATCATTGACAATCGTTTTACTTCGTAAGTATCTGAATAAAAAATGATGAAATTTTCGTCGTTCTTTCTTAGAATAATTTCTGTCGAAGGTTTCTTTTCATCAAAAGAACTAAATTAAATAATTTATTACAAAGATCAAGTTTTCAAGGAAATCTAGATATGTTGAAATATCTAAATTTAGATTAAGTCAAGTTTGATAAAGTTACAGCAACAGCTGATTTCGACATTCACTGTAAATAGCAAGTAATCATGTCGCGCATTTGGACTTTGTCACTAAAACTTAAATCTTGAAACTTAAACGAGAAAATTAAAACAACTTTTTAAATAATTAATTTTTAATATTTTTTCTTTTTTTTTCATTACAGAATCCCCAAGACCGTTAGTGGACATTATGCCAAGCCAATCGCTACGCCTGGAATCTTCAACAATATTCGTGGCTTTTCTGTCGTTCAAGGTGATGTCGCTCGTATTCCATTGAAAGTGAAGGCTTTCATTGAAGAGTCTGTCGCTTTGTGCCAACCTGAAAACGTTCATATTTGCGATGGCAGCGAACGTGAAAATCAATTCATGTTGAAAGCTTTGCAAGAATCTGGATCAATCATTCCACTTCCCAAGTACCAAAACTGTTGGTTGGCCCGTACCAATCCCGCTGATGTCGCGCGTGTTGAAAGCAAAACTTTCATCTGTACTGAAAAGCGCGAACAAACTGTTTGCACTCCGAAGCCAGGCGTCCAAGGTACACTTGGAAATTGGATCAGCCCCAAGGACTACGAATCAGCGATCAAGAATCGTTTCCCAGGATGCATGAAGGGTCGCACTATGTACGTCGTCCCATTCTCCATGGGACCAGTTGGGTCACCTCTAAGCAAGATTGGAGTTGAATTAACTGACTCGCAATATGTCGTGTGCTCGATGAAAATCATGACAAGAATGGGCGCTAATGTTATGGACGTAATCTCAAAGAAGAACATCGACTTCGTGAAGTGTTTACACTCAGTTGGCATGCCAGAAAATGGAAAGATTGCAGTTCCATCATGGCCTTGTGATCCCGAACGTGTGATTATTTTACACAAGCCTGAAAACAATGAAATCGTTTCGTATGGATCGGGTTATGGTGGCAACTCATTGTTAGGAAAGAAATGCTTCGCTCTCAGAATTGGAAGCACAATTGCTCAACGTGAAGGCTGGTTAGCTGAACATATGTTGATTTTGGGCGTCACATGTCCTAATGGTACTAAGAAATACATCGCAGCTGCTTTTCCATCAGCTTGTGGCAAGACAAACTTGGCTATGATGACTCCAACCCTTCCTGGTTATAAAGTCGAATGTATTGGTGACGACATCGCTTGGATGAAATTCGATTCTCATGGGCAATTACGTGCTATTAATCCCGAGAATGGATTCTTTGGTGTCGCTCCCGGTACATCATATGAAACAAATCCCAATGCAATGAAAACAGTTGTCAAAGACACAATCTTCACAAATGTCGCTTATACATCTGATGGTGGAGTATTCTGGGAAGGTCTTGAAAGCACAATTCAACCTGGTGTGAAGATCACTGACTGGTTAGGAAAACCATGGGAGATGGGAGTCAGTAAAACTCCAGCAGCTCATCCAAATTCTCGTTTCTGTTCACCTGCCTCACATTGTCCAATCATCGACTCAAATTGGGAAGATCCTGAAGGTGTTCCAATTTCTGCGATACTTTTTGGTGGTCGTCGTCCACAAGGCGTTCCACTTGTTTATGAAGCATTAAACTGGGAGCATGGAGTCTTCGTAGGAAGTGCTATGAGATCTGAAACAACAGCTGCTGCTGAACATAAAGGGAAGATGATAATGAATGATCCCTTTGCAATGCGACCATTCTTTGGTTACAACTTTGGTAATTACTTGAAACATTGGCTTAGTATGGAGAAGCGATGTGAAGAACTTGAAGGAACAATGCCAAAGATCTTTCATGTTAACTGGTTCCGTAAAGATAAAGACGGGAAATTCATGTGGCCAGGATTCGGAGAGAACTCACGAGTTCTTGATTGGATCTTGAACAGAATTGAAGGCAATGATTGCCATGAGCAAACTCCAATTGGCTTCGTTCCAGCTGAAGGCAGTTTGAGACTTGAAAACTTAGAAACCAAAATCAACATGAAGGAACTCTTCTCGATACCAAAAGATTTCTGGTTGAAAGAAGTTAATGATATTCAAACATACTTTGACAATCAGGTTGGATCTGACTTGCCAAAAGAAATTCAGGGACAATTAGATATCCTTAAATCGAAAATAGAAAAAATGTAAACATTTAGACTGATAAGATGAACGCTGACTCTGAAATAAAGTTAAGTTTTAAAAGTTAATTTTTTCTACTAAATAAAAATATTTATAAATTTTAAGAATAACAAAATATCCAAAATAAATAAAAACATTACAAAAATATAATTAGAAGATTGTTTTCAATGAACTTCATTTCCTGAAAATATTTTTTGTTTTTATTTCAGCTCATCTGATGACTGGAAATGTTAAATAATAAAACAATGAAAGATTTAATTTTCAATTGTATATTTTTCTCAATTTTTCAATAATCATAATTAGAACATTAATTAAAATTAATTAGGTTTTGTTTTCTCATTCTATATATTTTATAATGTTTTTGTTTGCCTTACATTAATCTTAAGGTTCCTCCATTTCTTTTCTCATCTGCTTACGAATAGGTAAATATATAATTTTTCTCATTCAGCTGTTCATGTTTGGAAAAGTTGTCAGCACAAAACTGAAGTTTGAGCTTTCATGACAAGATTCCAATAAGAAAAAGTTATTTTTTCAATTTTAGGTAACATTTCCCGTTCATATATTTTTATCATGATTTTTGCAAAAGGATTTTTAGGTATTTTGGGCTTAATTACTCAATAAGAAACGACATAATTCACCAATGTTAGCTTAGATACATAATAAAACACTTTAAGCTTAAAAGTTATAAACTCTTAAAGAAATTTCCTAAAATTGAAGAAGAATTTTCTAATTATCTTCTAAGTTTGTAGCATTAATAATATAAAAAATCTGGCCAATTATTTAAATGTTATGATTGCTCATAACTTTTTGTTTTCCTTTTTTGCTTCTCACGACTCGAAATTTCTTAGACGAAAATGCTTGTCTTCACTTAATTGAAGAACTTTTAAAATAAATGGCAAAGAAAATCCACAAAAAAATATTTAAATGTTTTACAAAAGACTTAGTTAGATAATGATTCTTATTTTCCAGCATTTGGTACCGAGATGCACAGGAGAGAATGAAGGAAATTTTAAATTCACTTTTATAACTCTTAATAATTACAATTTCCTTAACATTAATGACAATAATTTTATTTAATTATTTTTTTTTATATTTTTTCTTATTTATTTTTCTTCTTTTTACAACACATCACATGAGAAATTCATTCCACATCGTTAAAGTTTAACTTTGTCTGAAGATTTCTCATGTGGTGGAACCGAACAAAATTTTGGTGGCTTCCTCAGTATATGTAATTGTTACGTTAATTCGATTTATTTCATCTTTCTGTAGGCTCACACTCATCAGTATTCACCAGTGAAACATGCAAACATCTTATTAATCGTAAACTAATGTACATTTATCATTAGATTATTAAACATTCACTACGATCTAAGAGCACCATTTTCATTTAAAAATTATTTCAATTACTTTCAAAGGACTTTTTCTTATTTTTGATCCTTTAAAATTTATGATTTATTTTTCATCTTTTTTATTGTAATTCTAATATTTATTTCTTTTTAAAGATATCAAGGAAATGGTGACTTTTAAAAAATATTTTTGGTTCAAAATGATTTCTGAGTGTCATTATAATGAGCTCCTCGTTATTCACGAAATTAATCAAATTCTATAAGTATTTAAAGTCTGTTGGTAGAAAAGTAAAAAAAACACCTAAAGTAAAGCTTCCTATAAAAATTCAAAATCACAAAACAAAAAGGTAAACGAAAAATGCTTAACTAACATCTAAAAGAAGTCAAGGTAAAGTAGTTGATAGATTTAAGATTAAATTATAATTCTGATCAGTCTATAGTGATTAACAGGATTGGATTTGAAGCGAAAACTTTTCAAAAGAAAAGATTATTCAGTTTTTTGAGATATCGAAATGTGCGACTACAAAAATAGTCAACGTTCTGGAATCTTCACATTTTTGCTTTAGAAATCTTAAAAGAAGACTCCAGAATGAATTTTGAAGACGAAATGAAAAATAATTTGTTTATCCAAGACTTTAATTTATGGCATCAAAATTTCAAAAGAGAAAATTCTTTAAATTTTAAGGAAACAGAAAAGTGAATAAATGAAATATCGCGTGTTTACTACTATAAGAAGGTTTAGTTCGTTATATCAGACATTACAAGATGAATTATTAAAGACAATAAGTTATACTTTTAGAGTCTCTCAATTTATAATCAACATTGATGTGACAAAATCGAGAGACTTTCCCTAAGCTTACAAACGACATCGTGGCAGTGTTCGCTGGTTTCCTTAAACTCTTCTTCATAACCTTGTTAATGTACATTGTTGTTAAAAATTAATTAGAAGAAATGTTTCATGTGATTTTATAAAACGTTTAAAATGCATTTTGATGACGATAGATAAGTTTATTCAAACTTAAATCGAAAAGGAAAATAAAAAACTTCACTTTTTCTATGCATTTTAAACATTAATTTAAAAATATTGTTAAATATCCCAACCCGCTTAATTATCAGTTCAAGTATGCAATAGTGCAATTGGGGGTTGTACATAATAATTGTGTTGAATAAAATGTGGTGTATTGAGTTGTTATCTCATAATCGTTTAATAGACAAAGAAGTAGCTTTTTGTGTTAAACAAATAATTCTTGACATTAACTACAATTTATATTTATTTAGTAGAAATCATGCAACTTATGATTTTGACCATTTACTCAGTACGTGATTGCTAGATGGTATCAGGCTTATCATCGGCAGTGTTAAATTTCATTATTAGGTAAGAGTTTCCAAATGATATAATTTAGCTAAGTGAAAGATGAGAAGCTTTCAAGTATCTTTTCAGCATTTCCAATTAATTTGATTCCCTGGATTTTGAAGGAATAAAAAGTTTTCAAGAGATATGATTTTGAACGTTCAAATAATTCTGAAGTAATGGCAGTGATGGTTTTAAGTATTAATCGATTAATTTTGGCATGAAAAAATTATTATTCTTTCTCTACCTCAATTTCGGTAACTTTTCAACTGCAAGTTGTTGTCAATCTTTGTCTTTCCACTTTTTTGGTAAATTTAACAAAATAAAAATTAACAATGATAGATATTTGTGTAGTTTTGATTTCCTTTTTCTTTTAAATGGTAACATGTACTTGTGGGTCATGTGGAAGAATGAAATGATGATAAAGTTTAACGTTCATTAGCCAGCGAATTAAATATTAGTAAAAGATGATGAAATTAAGAATGATCATTTGTTAGCCTCTAGCTTTTTAACTTATTCATTTATTATTTATATGTTTGTGAACTTAAAATTGATCAGTCTATTTGGAAAAAGAATTTCGCGGGTGATTTATTTTAATTAATTTAAAAGGAGATGCTAATTTATTTATGTATTTAAAACTTCATTCTCTAATTATTGGCAGTGTAATTGCTGGTTTTAGTAACGAGATTTATACACAAAAATTTATAAAAGGTGCAGAAAGCAAAAGTTAGAAGATATGTTTACAATTTACAAAATAAAAGTCTTTCTTGTATGTACACAATTAAGGAGCATTAAGAAATAAATGTTTAAATTATGTTTCCATAATGACAGTTCCCCTCGCAAGGATTATACTAAAATAAATGCGTATTCAGAGTCCAAATGATTTTATGACTTACAGTCGTTACTAAATAATCAGAGAAATCATCACGAATTATTTTTAAAGCTTCTTCCATCTTCAAAAACATTTCCTGATCATACTCATAAGTATTTCAGTCCCAACTGTAATCAATTTTAATTTCAAATTCAGACAATTTAAGTGAATTGACACACACATAAAAAAGCAATCTAATTAAAAATTTCCAGAAGCTAATTAGTCATTTTTTGTCTTGATTTTCATCGACTATAAAAATATATCATCATTATGTTCATTATTAAATTTTGTCTAATTATCTGTAGTTCCAAAAATTAGATTCAATTTCAAACCATCAAACAGAATTTTTGCTATCGGTGTCTTCATTTTTTTACAGTTTTTTCTTTTCTCATCTGTGTTTAAACATTTTGAAGGCATATTATGTCAGACTTCATAGTATTGATGCAATTTAAATATATATTTCATTTATTTACTGAGTTAATTTGTTTCTCGTGAAATTAAAGTTTTTATTTTCTTTATGAATTAAAAGAAAAATGGTTTACTCGACCCAACCAGTTCGACGTCTTAGTTGAAGACTAAAAATATTTCTTTAGCCTTTTGAGGGTTTTACGCTTATACAGCATTGAAAGCTTTTTTCATTTTATTAAACTTAGACAGTTTTAGCTTTAAGTATTTGCCATAAATTTTATTTAATATTTAAGTTGTAGTCATTATTAGAAAAGAAATGAAAGTTTAGAAAAATTTTCCCGACACAAAGATAGTTGTTATTAGATAAATTGATTTGAAGTGGTTGTTTTATGTTTTTCTTGTAAATCAGGTAACTTTTTCCCACATTTTCCTCTTTTTAAGGTTTCAAATTTTTCTATTCATATCAAGAAATGAAGAAAAAGATCCAAATTTTCATTGATAGATGACGACTTGAGTCTACTGGATTTAATTTCGCTTTTGCTGCTGTTGCTGACGCTTTTAGCTAGCATTGACAAAACTGCTTCTTTCAGGCACACGTAAATGACTACTTCTTAACCCTATTATCTTAATTAGGTTTATCTAGCCCTCTACTTAATATGGCTGCTCAATATTTCAGGTTAAATGTTCAAAGCAAATTCTGCAACTATCTAAAAACATTCAACAATGACGTCTATGTACAAGATAGCACCAAATCAGACGATGAAATCACGTTATGTTAAGCTTCCATCTCTTCATATCGTCTTCGAATGTTCAAATCATTCTTTTGTTGCTACCTTGTAGTGGCAGAGTTTAAAACGAATGGTACGTAAAACATTTTTGACTCAAGCAAAAGATTTGCCGCTGTTTGTATCTGAAATTGAAATATTATTTAATAAAACGTACACAAATTAATTTCCATGACATACCTCTGGAATGTGTGCTAATAAATCTCCCAGTCTCCCTGGATTATGAGGTGATGAATGTTGCAAATAACTTCTCAGCACTTGCACATATCTTTCCTGTATGTTTTCCAGTTCAACTTCTACAAATTGCAATTAAACATGAAATATTAATTAAATTTTATGACATAAAGATTTACTCACCTTTATTTAAAAGAATGTAAACTTTCAGGCACACATATTCTTCCATTCTAAGCTTTATTCTTCTGAACATGATCGTTATTTGAGTCATTTTTTCAACCATTAAACCCACGTCAAGTTTTAATTGTTCCATTGAAATTGCATGTCCCATGAGTGTTGTGAGACATGTTTGAAGTGTCTGCAAATGTGCATTAATCTGAGAAATAAAAATGATTTGTTAGTCATGCTTAAAGAGTCATAAAATTCCACATTAAATTTCTCACTTCTTGTACGTATTCCGGATCATTCTTATCTGGTGCAATTGCATTTGTTGAACTCTGTTGTGAACTTGTATATTTTCGACCATACATAGCTTGATAAGCTGCTGTTGTTAATACTAAAATTTCATGCCATTTGTCTGTCAAAAGTTTTGTGTGAATTTCTACAGGAATTTCTAAATAAAATGGCAACTTTTTCGTCCACGAGACAAGCTTGTGAACGATTGAATCTCCAATGTTACAGAGCTTGTCGCTGATCTCTGACTTATCTTCAAGAAACTGGGAAAAGTGGGGCAACGTTGCAATGTCTTCCATTGCATCACAGTCAATTAAAGTTTGAATCATATTAATTGCATGTTCAAAACTGATGGATCGATCGCGTGACGAACTAACTGCGTTATCCAACCGATGTCTGAGATGAACAATCTCACTGGGATTCGTCAGTGCTGCTTTCAAAATATTCCCATTCAAAAGACTCGCAGGTAAATTTACTTGATTTTCCTGCTTGACTTGTGGTTGTTGCGATGATGCCGAAATATTTTGTGTTGATGATGCCATTGATGATTTCGCTTCATTCATTGACTTTCCATTACCACTACCATTGCCATTACCTGGTGGACTCTTTTGGTTTGTATTTTTCTTGTGTTTCTTGTACTTCACTTTGTACAAATTATAAACAGCACCACTATTTCGTCCACCTGGCATTCTATCTTCTCTTACTGCTTGCAATACCATTCCCTGTTCAATACATTTCTTAAAACGACAATATTGACACCGATTACGTTGAGCTTTTGTTATTTCACAGGTACCATCAGCGACACATGTATAGACTCGTCTATTCTGAACAGTTCGCTTAAAGAAACCTTTACAGCCTTCACAAGTTATTATTCCATAATGTAGACCCGTCGCTTTATCTTCACAAATCATGCACACTAAAGGTTGATCATCTTCATCATTGTTCATCTCATCCATTCCATGTTCCTGAAAGAAATGAAGCAGAAATTTATGTTAAAAAACATTGAATGGAGAGTTTCATTAAAAGAATGTTTACTTTATGCCCTTGTTGTTGCCCGAGCCAAGCTTGTTGTTGCTGTTGAGCGCTCAAATTGAGTGCATGAAGTTGTTGACCAGCTGGTAATTGACTGTAATCTCCAGCCCATAATCTTTCCATGTTCAAAGCATGTGGTGGTCTTCCAACTGGTCTCGAACGATTCTAAAATGTTCAATAATTTAATTTATGTGTTTTAAGTTCATTATCAGATTTAACTCACGTCCATCATCGGTCGTGCACCTTGTCCTAAGCTCAAAAGTAAATGAGCTGCTTCTTCATTATTACTACTCGAATGATTTGAGTTGGTCGAGTGATTTGAGTTTTGAGATGTACTTGGTGGTGTTTGAATGGGCGGCGTAGGTGTTTGTACTTGTTGTGATTGTGGAGGGGAAGACATGACTGGTTCAAAGCCCCAAACCATTGTTCTAACACCACACGATTCTCCCATGATCACCGTAGGCGTAGTTCGATTTGGTGGCGTTTGATTTGGTGACGTCTGTTGTGGTGATGATTGTGGTGAGACTTGCTGTCTTAATGGTGGTAACGGCCCACCAATAACTTCCGGTTTCACTCCATTGATTCTTGCTTGTGGTCCCCAAACCATTCTTTGTTGTGGCATATGCTGCATAAAACCAGGAGACATTTGCATTTGAGGCTCATTCTTTATCCTAAACAACATCGCGGCTTCTCTCATGCCATGAGCTGAACGCATTTGAATCGGTGATCCATGTAAAGCAGCTGCAGCTGCAGCTGTTGTAATAGGAATATGATGCGGTGACATCTGCTCTTGTTGACGCATTGGATGATTCGATGGTATAATCGTCAACTGATTCGGTGATCGTTCACGCTTAATTTTCTGATGAAAAAAGTGCTGTGAAGTTTGGTGTGATGCCTGTGATGATGGTGGACTATATCGACTATTTGGTGGTGATTGACCAGCTTGATTTCGTTTATAAATCGGCGTTGCACTCATACTTGTCGGCGGATAAGGAATTTGAACTTGATGAAGTTGATGTTGATGTTGAAGTTGTGAGAGACCTGATAATGGTGCGGTCATTGGTAATGGGCCGCTGTCCATCATTGTGTTGGACGATAATGACGATGGTGGCAACTTTCTGGTCATGGCATTCATTAAAAGATTGCTTTCATTCTTCACTCGTGGTGGTGTCACAAGCACCGTAATATGCTGTTGTGAGCTTGCCAATTCACTTGTGTTAGATGCGCCCTGTTGAAGATGCTGATGCAGCAAAGTGCCGACAGGAGATCGTCTAACTGGCGATGATGAAGCAGGTGAATGAGATCTTGGGCGATTATCAATTATCACACTAGCTCCGCTGTTAGAGCCGTTTGTTGAATTTGGTTTCGAATGGTTTTCAGTCGATGGCGGTCGATCTGATGTTGTTGAGGGATGATTTTCTTCTCGTTGTTCCGGCGACACTGACAAATTACGTCTCACAGATATCATTTGTTGAGAATTCAGATTCGCATTCGTTTCGTGATGATCGGGAGGTGTTGGTGGGGTTGAAGACGGGGGCGGCGTCGCCGAGGCAATCGAAGAAGCTGAAGAAGATTGTTGTTGATTAGTTTGCATATTTGCGCCTGATTGATTCCCTTGATTTGATGCATCGCACATTTTAGGCGAGATCGGTGCTATCAAGTCAGGTGATGATGTGCTCGTGTCAGCTAACGACTCACCATCACTACTGCAACGAGAATCAACTTTGCGACGCTTGAGTTTTAAATCTTGGAAAAGGCTCATTTTATCGAGCTCGTTGTATGGACCACGGCTCAAAGTCATAATTCCTGTAGGATAAAACAGAAAACATTTTTAATTTCGAAATACTTTATGCAACTTTTTAAATAAATATTTTTTCTAAGCAACCTTCAAAATAATCTTTCAAAAGTGCTTTTACAAGTTTTTAACCACCTGACTTTGATTTAATTATCAACTTACTTACATCGTTCGTTATACAATCCCAAAGTCAAGTTTATTAAGAAAAATATTAATTTAAAGACATAAATTTTCAGTCTTACACAAATAGTTGAATGTTTCCAGTAAAATAATTTCAAATATGAACATTCGCTTCAACTCCACTAACTGTGCATAAACTTATTAACATTCATAGACGATGACGTAACGAGTAAGTGTAAAACTACAATCTAAGTCAGTTTCCCTTTCGCATTTTAGTGAGCTTCATTTAATGTTATGTAGCGATAAATAATGTACGAATTTCACTTTCACTGCCAATAGTCGACAACAAGCAACACACGGTCAAAGATGAATGAATCATTTTGGTGTCTTTTTGAATGTTGAAAAGAAAGTTGTCTCTACAAGATATTTGTTGGCGTAAAATATGATGTTTATTTTTTGAAGCTCGAAATGTTTGCTTTTTCACGTTTTATAAAAATAAATAAGTATCAGACAGCGTTGTAATAAAAATTATAAATTATACTTTTAATGTCATTTCATCTGGAAAAGGTCGCGATCTTAACAAGCACAGGAAAATTTGTGCTTTACAACAATAATTTACAGTAACGAAAAGAAACTTTCTCTTCCTCAAAGTTACTTCCGCAAATATTGATGTTACAAAGGAAAAAAATAATCGTGCGAACAAAACGAAATTATTTTACTGTTGTTGCTTTGGAACAAATAATTATCTAAGCAAAAGTAAGGAAATCAAAGTTTAAAACATAAATGAAGCTTTTTATATCATAAAGTTTCCTCTCGATTTGCCGACGATGATAATTCAACGATGATTTAAAAAGTTACGTAAAGACATCGAGCTTTTATGTGTGCGAGATTTTCATTGGCCTACATCGAGTTCAGTGAACTTTTTTTTCCTTCATTTAGTTTTTCCTCTCTCGTGAGCTTTTACACATATTCATAACGAAAGCTTTTAAAGTAGTGTTGGAAAGAAAGAGTAATGTAGTAACTTGTGTAGTAAGCAAGAGAGAGAGAGAGAGAGAAAGATGGTGAGAGAGAAAGAGCTTTATTGCATAAGACCTTCAGCTTTTCCGATGTCAATTTTATGTAGTGTTTGAGCATAAAATATGTTGTTAATGTTGCTATTGATTTCCCGGGGAAGATTAATACAAATTTCAAAGATTCAACTGATTCAAATTCAATATCATGATGGAAGTTTTGTTTAATTTATTTACATTTTGTCGCTTGCAATATGAACTCTATAAAAATATTACAAACACACACTCATGTCAGTTGAAATCCCAATCTAACGACTGAAATTGAAGCTCAGATTCCGACCTATATTTGCTCTGTTCATCTCGTCAATTTCATTCGATTTCATACTCAGAGTATTTGAACAGTTGAATACGTTACGATAATTTGATTTCCTTTACAAATTTGAGAGTTCGTTGATAGCAGGCAGGAAAAAATAGAATGAAGCATAAAAGAAATATTTACGTGCGCTCTCTCAAAAAAATCACAACCTGACCTGTCTCAATGACAAAAACTTCGCGAGAATTTATTTGCAAACTGATTCATATAAGAAAATAAACAATTCTTAGAAAAAAAACTTTTCACCGGAAAATTTTAAAGATATATGAGAAACAAACGCATAATTTTGTGATTTTGCATCGCAATATGATTTACCATAATTCCCCAGCGATGTCATATTTGTTGATTGGATCTTCGGTGGCTTGTTGTCACTGATATTTTTATTCACAATAGTCATTAAAATAAATTTTTCATCAACTTTAAAATGAATTATTTATGATTTTTTTTTCGAGATCAAGCGCAACTTAAACAGCGGTTGCACATTTTATGAATGATTCGATTGTTACACAAATTTATTGTTTTCAACTATTTTTCGATAATGTTTTCCTTCTTATCACAACTCAAAGAATTTTTTTTCTCGCTAATTTGTGTTTAATTTTAAGTTGGCGCAACTTTTCGTTTCTCACTTTATGACGTCACTGGTCTACGTGATAAAATTCTGAATCATTTTCACTCAGTTGATCCATTTTTAATAATTTTTCACTTATCGGTCACAATCACATTTCCCCTGTACATATTTATGTTTTATTTATTTATTTATTTTTTATTCACTAAAATTATTTATAAATTTTCTTCCGTTTCTCTTGCTTTGAGCTTCGAATGCGGAAGTGATCAAGTCGTTGCAAATATCATGTTTCATCCATTGGTCTTTTTTTATTTAATTTTTGACGGTCAATGGTGATTGTTATGAGAATTACGAAGCTTTTCAAACAGCATAAAGGTCACAGCTGCAAACAGTTAGCAATTGTTTCTCAATTTTTGATTCTATTGTTCAAGCCACACCATCACAGTTTGCATAATTTTCGTTATTTGTTCTTTTGCATTAAACTCAATTTTTGTGAGCGAAGCATTAATAAATTTCGTTTCTTTTTTCTTTTTTAAATTTAATTGTAGCTGCCGTTTCTTGTTTATTCTGTTAATGTTCAGTGCTACAACGTTCAAATATTTTCAGATATCCTTCAAAATCTGGCTATGTATGAATGCGAGAAGCTCATAAAATATTCACACAAATGCACGACTACGTGAAATATTCTGTGATTTTTTTAAGCCGTCTGCATTTACTTCCTCAATTGAATTCTCTTGAATGTTAAATTCATAAATCACAACTTCCTTAGTCAAACTGTAACGCGCAAATTGAGCCTGCAACTTTCTTTTATTTAATTATTATCAACTTGCACTTTCAAATTTTTTTTATGATTGTTTCAAAAGTCTTTTTAACAGTCTTAAATATTTTTAATTCATCAATAAACTTTCACTAAAATATATTTATTTCTTCTTTCTTCTATTCATTCACGAAATTCTTTTCCTAATCACAAGTGTTTTTCATTCAAGAAAATATTCTTCCATATTTAAATAATTCAGTTCTTAAAATATTTTTTTTCTCTTCGGCTAAATATTCTCCGTACATCCAACCATCAGTATCGGCGATGATGAATTAAAATAACCAAACTCGATCGAGTCGTGTTTTCAATGAGAATGAAGTGAGCGTAGTGCGATCACAGTGAAAATAGCAATTCCGCGTTTCTCGCCTATAGTCTAATTCTTCACTAGTCTCCGAACAAAACTTTATGGCTCAAGGAACGTTTGCATGTGTTCGAAGCTTAACTTTTTTCACTCTTCGTCTCTCTCTCTCTCACTCTCACGAGATTTACGCGTAAAGTTTCTACTCAATGAAAACGAAATTTACTTTTTTTTTTAATTTTCCTTTACTTCTTTCTTTCTTCTTCTCCCTCGTTTGCGGGTGAGTCGAAAGAAAAAAAATATAAAAATTGTAACGGGTGGAAAGAAATCCGCGTGTACTCTCCGCCAAAGTAGGTTACAAAATGAATTGAAAAATATTAAAATGAAAACATTGGCTGTAGGGAAAAAAAAGCATGCAGCTGTAAGAGAGCAGCAAGCAAAGAGTGTGGAAAACGAAGAAGAAAAACATAAACTATGTAGTAGGGTACCAGCTACAACTAACACAATCATGTTAAAAAAGCTTTGAATCGTTGAAAGCTTTCGTTGTATGCAGAAAACGAATGAGAGACCAAAATAAAGTTGATGAATTACAGTGATGATAAATAGCAAGAAGAAATGTGTATTGGATTGAACATTAATGAAAAGGAAAGCATCAGAGCTGAGAGTGAAATGTCTGAGAGCTTCCTCATGAAACTTTTCTTCATACAATTGTGTTGCGTTTTTGGCATCGAAGCGTTTTAAATTTTTTTTGGTCATTTAATTATAATGAAGAGAGGGTAAAGAAGTTAGATAATCAGAAATGAAACCAGAAAACTCAATTTGTTGTTGAGGGCAATCACCTTGCAAGCTTTGAGAATTCCGTAATAATAAGTTGTTGATTTGTTTCTTTTTTTAAATATTTTTTGTTATTCTTGCAAATTATTGAACGATGAGGTTGACATTTAATTCTCACCTCAATTCTTGATTTTAAAATTGAACAAAATTGATTTTCAATCATAAATAAGCTTGAATGATGGAGTTGTTTTCATTGATGTATACTTGGATAGATAGAACAAGAATCTTAAAATAAATATTCAATAGTAAAGCATTAACTGAGGACATAAATATGTATCAACGCACACAATAAAGTTAGTTGAATGTTCTTTTTTTTCAAGCTACACGAACGAGTTTTCTGGGTCAAACGCGAACGCAAGAAAAAATAAACGAAGCGGGAGAAAAAATCTTTCTGCTCTCAGCTTTTATTCTCGACACGTTATTTGATAGAATGGTGGAATTATGGAAAGTTAGCTATGATTAATGCAAAATCAACTATTCATTTTGTCTCATTTCTAATGTCAATAGCTCAACCGAATAACTTTCTAGGGCAATGTGCAATATTATTCATCAAAACAGCAACAATTGTCGAATGCTTTTCACATCCAACGAGAGAGAAATGAAACTTTCATTGTGTCCACCCACATTGACACTCATCAACATATACATTTGGTATCTTCAATTTAACGTTATGTCGTCTAAATGATATTTTTTTTAATGAGGTGGAGTAAAAGTTCATTTGAAATTAGAAAGTTATGTAAAATGTGACTCCCATCAGAACAGTTAGCGGAATAGATGGAAGCTGATCGTTTATTCATTTCATAAAAAAAGTTGATGAAAGAAGAGAAAAGAGACTGTGATGATGACGGAATCGTAAACTCTATCACGACTGATCAATGATTTGACTTTATTTCTATTCGCGCAACATTCATTTAGCTAAAGCATTGCGTAAGCAAATCTATCAAGTAATTTTCACGTTTCTCAAATCAGCTTCTGGGTTTGACAGGAAATCACTTTTGATTTCGCCTTTCTACAGAAAACGTCTAATCAGGTCGGTTGATGATAAATTTATTGCGCAATTGTATTTCCGACACTTTGTACAATTGTTTGCTTCGTATCTAACGAACTTCTGGTTAATTGATGTTTCACTTACGACGATCCCACAGCACCGATATTTATGATATTTTCCGATTCAACAATCTCTTTACATGGGCTTATAGTTTACACTTTCGTTTTCAGCACAGCGTGAAGCTTAAAACTTGATTAAATTCTTCCGAGATAAGATGAGAAATAGTTTCAAGGAAATCAAGTCGATCATACAGTTATATTTAAGCCATTGAAAATGCAAATACAAAAGGGAGAATTGAATGGAACACGAACATTGAAAGAAAGAGGAAGGAAAGAAAAAAAAACATTTAAAAGTGATTGACGTTATATTTCTCCATACTTAGCCGCAGACATTGGCGAAGCCATAAAAACTCACTCGTTGCTCTTGCATATTCAAAGTGCCGTTACATTTTCCCAGGCCCGCAGAGTGAAGTTCGCTTCACTTTCTTTCTCCATTTTACTTTCTTTTTCTCTTTCTTCCTTTTGCTTTAACATTCGTTCATCGCATACGATTGTGAATAAACCGACAATACAGACATTAAAGAAAGGGAAATTAAATAAATTATGTGAACAAGAAGTGGTAAAAAATGATGTTGAATACTGATCACGTTTTCAAAGCCTCTTGGTATTGATTTTTTATCTAATAATTTACACTAATAAAAGTATAATAAGACGATTAAGATTGCGTAACACTTTTTCTCCATAATTGCTTTATTTTTCTTCTTTTTTCCCATCCAATAATGTCGCGAATCTTTAGAGACAAGAAAGTGTTTCAAGGAAACCAACAAACGCACATTGCGTTTAATTCAATATCAAAATTTGTAATTTAGGTTAAATATGATAACGTTTTAGGCCTCGTACACAGTTATCACTTGTCTGATTACAGAAACTTTCAAGTTATAAAAGTTCGAAAATGTTTCAAAAGTGTCCGCGTTCTCGTGATCAACAACGAAATAAAAATAAAATTGGAACACAAGACAGATTAAAAAAAGAACAAAATAATTCCCCCCAAAAAAAAAGCAAGCAAAGAAACAAAAATTGAAACGACTGCATTGAGTGAATGTAAACTGTGGAACTTAACAGACAAAAAAAATTTAAGAGAACAATCGTAAAAGTCAAGAACGCGATTCAATCTTGGCCTCTAAAGCACAGCGTCAATTTAAGTCATAAGAGATGTAAGATCGAGGCCACAGTGCGGTTTCAGTCGCTCTTTTATTATGGATTTGAAGTCAAAAAATCTACAGCCTTTTTGTGTATAAACGCAAAAAAAAAGAAATAAATAAAACAACATCAACAACTGTTTCTGCTGCTTCCGCAAACTTGATTGTTACTAGCTTATCGTTGAATTTAACGTCTACAACTAAAGCTGATTTATTTTACCACAAGTATTGAGTGCTTCTGTTGACAAGCTAACAACATGCTTATTCATATCACGATCAATGTTTACGCAACCTTATAAGCTTAACGATCTTCATATTGTTTTATCTTTGGTTTGTTGACTCATATTTGAAGCATCACCGAAAATGAGAAAAACGTTTCTCAAGCGACAATCCGCTAATTCTTCTCTCGCATAGTTTTGTGACTAACAAGGAAATGATCTTTAATAACACCAAGCCACATATGTAAATCTTTTTGGAAGATGATACAGTCATGAAACTCACTGACACATTTGAAGATCGAGAACAAAACTAGGAAAAAGATTCAGATGCTAGACGCAACAGGGTCAACGAGATTTTTCAACACTTGCAAATGGCAAAACAAAAATTCTTAATGTCTTGTCGTTTGTGTTTCTCGGAATAACTCACGATGAACTTGATATTTTTACGATGCGAAATTATCTTCAGAATATTGTTCAAGAGCGTGAATAAATATTACGAAACAAAAGATGATACCTTGGGTGAAAATATAATTGTGAAGATGCTTTCGTCACTGCTTAGTTTCAAGGAAATGTTTTGAATTCTTCAAAAGATTGAGTAAGTGAAAAGTATTATGAAATGTGTTGTTCTAGTAAATACTAAAATTGTTGATCCCCCAAAGCGTTCTAAGAATGTCACAATTTAATTTGTCTTCAAATCAACAAAAGATGAATAAAAATCATTAAACTTATGTTGATTTAGCAGCACAGTTTGATGTAAATCAAAAGTCCTTGGACTTGCCACTTGATAATCGAAACATTTACTATTGAATTATCGTATCTTCGTCAAAAAAAAATACTTCGAAACGTACTACTAGTCATCATCATTTATTTCAGTAAAATACATCAACAACATAAAGCATATTTTTCAAGAGTTGTTTTTCAAATCTGGCGTCTTTCTTTACGCAACCTTACACGTCAAGTCGAAAACAAAATATTTGGTTTTATTTTTTACAAAAGAGTAGTTAAAAGCGATCTACCTAAACATTTAATTACTCTTGCAACTGTAAATATTGTAAAATCGTAAAGTAGAGATATGAATGGTTGTTTACTTAACCTCCAAAACAACATTCTACTTAGTGACGATGTTGTGTCTCCATAAAGCAAATACAATTCAATCAATACGATACGATTCTATTTCCTCATGCTTTGGGTCTTACAGGAAATTCTTCCAACAAACTTAACACGTTTGGTTAGAAGGAAGCTTGAGAATACATTAGCATTTAAATGTATTTTTCTGCCAAATAAGAATTCAATGTCCTTGATATTGCTTCATGAAAACTCGAATAACAACACCAAACACGTACATTGTCTGGTCAAATACCCGAAAAAAGAATAAAGCAGCAAGATGGGAGTGCTACGAGCGATACGATTCAAAAAAATGTTACCATTCAAAGAACTCAGACGATAGTTAACACTTACTTAGTGTTAACTTGTAGGTTATTATCATGGCAATCGTGTTTCTGTGTATTTCAAGGATATTCTGTAGGAATGGAAAAATCTTTTACTTACAGTTGACTTCTTGTCTACCGTCGTTAGCTGTTAAGTGACAACTTACTTATATCAATTCAATAAAGAAGTATTTGTCATCAACAGCAAGTAAACATACTGCGTAGCATTTCGTATTTGTCAAAGCTTCAGACGTTCTCAATGTCGAATCACGATTGAAAAATTATAAATCGCTGAGCTATGTATAAATATATTTAAAAACGTTTCACGATCATTTTCGACAACTGCTTAATTACCGTTATGAGAATGAGAAAAAAAGTTGTGAATATTTTCACTGTTGTGTTTAGTCAACCGGTAGAGAAGTTTTAAGGACAAACGTCATTTTGAAGTTCGAAGGAAAATCATTTAGAGAGTCGTGACGTCGTTGCTGTTAATTCTTCATGTGATAACAAAAGTTGAAGTAGAAATTTCCACACTGTTGTGTTGACAATTTTACCAACACAACAGTATGGAAATTTCTCGATTACTAATCATCAATTTGTTGAGAACTTAATTTTGCTTTCTGATTATTTGTTGAGTAAATTCATTTGTTAAGCATAATCAAGGAACAGAATCTGAATTAATGAATACAAAAAATCATATAGGAACTGATTCTTGTTATTATTAACAAACATTTATCCACTACAGTCAATGTCTTAAATAGGATTATTCCATGTGATACAAACAAATACTTTGGCACATTTCGCCTTGACAAAAACCCTGAAATTATTGTTTCGAAAACGACTTGCAGCAAAATCTTATTCAACACTTCCTATAATTTGTTCCCCCTATAAAAGGTCATTCTTTCTTCAACAAACTACTTCCCGGTGAACTTTAAATACTTCATGATGAAACGAAAGAAAGATGCTGTCAAGAGTCAAACAGCAATCAAAGTCATTTAAATTTAGCTAAAAACAACACAAGGAAAAGAAAAAATTAACAACTTGCGAAGCTACGTCAGCATCAACAACATCAAAATCACTTTCATTTTCGGCAAGAAAATTGACAAAGTCTCGGGCAAAAGAGAAAGCTTTTAAAAGAGACAAATTTCTTTAAAAATATTGAATAATGTTACGCAACGTGGCCCGACAGTTATGACAAGCTTAACATCTGCCCAAACTTCGGGTAAATGTGTAAAGTCAAGTTTAAAAATAACGTCATTACATATCTTGGAGCTTATTTCGTTGGCAGCTTTAATTAAACTTCATGTTATACTTGAATTTCTTGAGATATCATGTGAAAGTGAAAGCGTTTGGTTCGCGTTCATGAAAGAAAGACAATAAACATCTTAAACTGCTTCTTTTGCTACTCTTTTCCTATTTAACGTATTTGAATGCAACATTTCATGTTTATTTAAATACAACAACTAATAAGTTTTAATTACCGACTTTTCATTGTGAATTATTTGATTATATTATGTGATGTAATTCAGTGAATTATATCACCTTATTAGGAAATGTCACTTAAGCAGGAGAATTGTTTCTCCTCTTCGCTTCCTTGTTCATGTTTGAAAAGTCTAAGACGATTAAAATCATCCAGTCACGACTATGGCTTGAGGCTCTTTAAGAAATACTTTTTAATGGCCATTTAAAAGCTACTTCAACGATTCAATTGATTTTGGCAGTGAAAGTGCTGGGACTTTTTATTACTTTGTTGTTTACTGTTGATGACGGTTGGATAACGTTTTTAAAGGTTAATAATGGTTTAAGTTCAAGCCAAGAAATTTCTTCGACAGCTTGCGGCTTTTGTGTAATGTTTGTTGTCTACAAATCGTATTTATTTAATATTTTTTGGTGATATTTTAAATAAATGACATAGCATAACATGCTCAAAGTTCAAAACGCATTAAAACTATAGAAAAAATAGACAAGAAAATATTTAGTTTCGTTAAGTTTTTGTTTGATGTCATTTCATGATCATTTCAGTTGTCTTTAATTTTTCGTAGCATTTGCTTTTGACTTCGACATCTTAAAAGAGTTGAAGAAGCGTGAGGCATCATTCACGCAGTGGGTTGGGCTGTTATGATGTAAGTAGCATCAATCCAATTATCGTGGAATTCAATTCAATGTTGGTTGTCATAGATAAATAGAGGAAAGAAGGCATTTCACTTTTAAAGTGCAATGATGCAATGAGATGAAACAGAAACAAGGAAAAGTCTGCACAATTTACTCCACAACCAACAGTTGAAGTCTTTTGTAATCGTTAAAGATTTTTTTTTCCGTAAAACTGCAACTTGGCTGCGAAAATATTTTTAACTTTCTAACGCTTTATGCCTTCGAGTCAAACACAAACAAGTTCACGACTGCATTCTTTTCTCTTCCTTACGTACAGTTGGCCAATAGCGCGAGCGTACTGCACTCAGAGGTTTATTGAAATAGTTTTTCTTGTTTTTGTTTTTGTGTGTTTTGCGATCATAGATTGAAAAAAGTCGATTGCATCGATTGATCTAACAAGTTCAAGCGAAAACCAACAACTTTTTACCACGATATAAAATTTCTCGAAAGCCAAGTGCAATTTCAAGTCGCAACTATGCGTTTTATTTCTGGTTTATTATGCAATCATACATACAGCGCTTACTTAAATGCAATTACGCATTAATTGCATGCCAACTTGTTTTTAGTTCGACTTGCATTTTTTTTTTTTCCAATTGCACCATTTTTTCTGCGATTAAAAATGACACACATGTTGATTGAAATTCAAAAGAAATTGTGAAAATATGGAGACATAAAATTTGCTTTGCTTGCAATGATCTGATCCAGATTTTTTCTCTAAGTAAATGATTCGTGCAATAGACTTCTCCAAAAACCACCATGATGCAATTGTATTATTTTTCTCATTCAGCGTTGTTTTGTTGAATATATTTTTGGGATCAATAAACTATTAAAGCAAAATACGAATTTGTTACACAACGTCAACCGTCAATAGAGGCTGCTGACCGATTGAATAACAGTACATTTGAACGCTTTCATTTGAAGTTGAATTTGAAATTAAATTAAATGCGTGAGACACTTATTGCTAGGTAGTTGCTATGTATATAGATTCATGAGACGAGGAAAATCATGTGAAAGAAAAATAAAATGATTTTCTTGACTGTGAATAAAAAAAAATTGTGCAACATTGAAAACTTGAGCTTCGTGGAATGCTTGCCTCTTCGACCAAGTATTTGTAAAGTGTTCTTGCATCAACAAAAACTGTCGGTGCATTGACATTTGGCTCAAATTCTTGTTTGCTGTTTTCGTGTTTTCGTGCTTTTAGTTTTTCAATTTTTTTCATTTTTTGGCAAATGACTCTAAATACACATAAATGAAAGCAGTCTAGTGTGTTTAATTTCAAGCCAGCATATAATAATTTCTTTGTGGTTAAAACATTAATTCTTTCATTTGTCAATTAGTCATACATTTTAGTTGAACTCTATCTATGAATGTTCAACATTATTTGATATTTTCAATAATTTTTCAACGAATTCACAACAATTTGTCGTAGGCAGAGCGTTTACATTTCGAAGGTTTTCTTTAGAAAATTTATTTTTTCTAGTTAAACAGAAATAAAAATAGAGAGAAGAAGAATAAAAGTTAATAAAAGTCAATGGAATAAAATGAATAGAAAGTTCGTTGTGCAATCAATTTTTATTGCGAATAAATCTAAAATCATTTGACTTGCCCTTTTGCCTCTGACGATAATCTATTGTCTTATCGGAAACGTCTCAACAACATTTGTTGCATTCAAATTGAAATATAGGAAGTAGATAATGGATCGAATTTGCTATTTGGCGCAGCATGAAACATCAATAACAACAACAAGAAGAACAAGCAGCAAGTAATGGAAAGAGAAAGTAAAAGTGATCACGATCATGCAATAGTTAGTAACGATACTTAGTTGACTTATGGAAATTACATTAAACATTATTCAAGTAATGTAGAGACGTCGCAATCGACGTGCTTAACACTGTTAAAATATCAAAACACCCATGCAAATTATAGAAAATTTAGAAATTATTCGTCTCAATATTATTAAATTGTCCATCAAAGCTTTTTCAATGTGTGTTGATGATCTGTTGAGTTGTATGAAAGATGAAATCAGCTAATCCATTGAATTATAAGCTTGTCAATAGTCTTCAATCACTTCCAAAACTAATAATGATCATACATACATAAATATGTGAGGTGAATGAACGCCAAAAAGTAAATTTAAGAAATCAAGGCGAGTGGCAGTGTCGAACTTTCCAGGATGGCGTTCAAAACAATAGTGAAAGTTTTACTATTGTCGCTGTCATGACATGATTTATGGGCTGTCTCAATATTTGGTAATAGAAAACCATTTGCTGGTCGATGTCAAAACAAGTCAATGGCTGAGCAAGAAAAATTGAACGATTCAAAGAAAAACAATAGATTGAAAATAGTTTTATTGTGTTCTTGACAACCATTACAAACCCGAAATTGTTAAAAATCAAGTTGAATCGAAAAGATAAATGCGATCGTAAAAATTATTCGTTCAAAGTTTGCATAACATATTTTTTCTTTATTTCAAACTGTGTAGGAAGAAAAAGAAGAAGAGAAGAAAGCTTCATTATAAAAGCAAAAGATGAAAAGAATAGAAGAAAATAATATAAAATGGAGCCGCAAATCCATTGTTAGTTATAATGAGATTTGTTGGAGTCTCATAGAGTTTCCGTATCACGATTTCAAATGAAAGAGAAACTTAAGAAAGATTGATTGCATCATCTGAATTTGTAAATGTTAAATTTATTCGCAATGCATCAATTAATAAATTATTTAGATCGAAAAGAAAAGCTTTCACTGACCGGGTAAAGAAATAACTTACAAACAATCAAAAAAGCTTTCAATGAAAGCTTTCTCAACGGAGGCAGGCAAAGGCAAATTTTTTCTTTTGTAAGCTGTTTCAATTAGAATGCAAAGCAGATTGTGACGTACAAATTACATTGAACTGAAAGGAGGTAAAAAGTTCATTAATCTAGCTCATTTCCAACTTCCCTGTTGTTATTCAATTTTTCTTTCTTTTTCACCACAAACCGGAAACATGGAAAATGTCTAATATTGATGAGCTTTTCATGCTATTAAAGCACTCTTGCTCAATTGACGCTCCTGAATTCTGTTTCTCTATTTAAATCTACTAACAATCATCATTTTTTTCCTTCACTCTCATCAGATACATAATGTGGCAAGAAATTATATTGCTTCGTTATATATTTATAGCTTTTTTTCATGATACAATATTAAACTAACACATAACCTAGTTTTCCATCTGAAGGTTCAAAGACCTCATCCGTTCAAAGCTAGTTGTTTCAATAGTTTCAGCTTGAAAAAATAGTCGTAGATTATTTAATTATTTATGTATAAATGTGTGTGTGTGTATGAATGTGCTTAGGATAGTTTCGTTTTCATTTGTAGAGGTTTGTGCTTGATATTGGACTTTAAGTAACATTTCGTATTTCTATGAGCGCGTAAAGCTCCCCAGTCTGTTGTTGTTATTTTTTTTTTGTGTTTTTTTCGTGTGAAAGTATGAACGACGTTGTGTAACATTTATGCTTGAAAAACATTGAAATGAAGTGTATAAAATTTTTAGTGTTACGTATCAAGTTTTTGGTTGCTTTTTTCTCAGCTCAAGTTTTTTGGCAAATGAATCGTGAGTTGAATGAACTGCACGGCGCGTTTCTACGTTCAATGAAGGCCCAGCTTTCGAAATTTTAGCCGAAAACATTAAAGCGTTTCAAGGACTTTTATTTTTTTGGGCTTTTTTGTTTTGGTTGTTTTTTTTTCGGTTGCGCTTCATAAATTGCGGCTCGTAATTTTAACCACTTACCGTCAGCATCAGTGAAAATAAGAAAAAGTAATTTTAAGAAAGTTCCACTGCAATTCTCTCACCTGAAAAGAAAATAAAAAGAAAAAGAAGAAATTTAATTCAAGGATGATGATAAAAAGGGCAAGAGAAAAAGTATCGAAATGAAATGCAAAATGTAAAGCAAGACAACATAAATGCGTACTGTTAAGAAACTCAACGACCCTGACCGAAGTTAAGCAGTTGGATTGTTTTTTTCGGTGGAAAGAAATGTTTTAAGTCTAAAAGTTGGAAGGTCTTTTTGGTGCGTGAAGTTTACTTAAGGAAGCTCGAGTGCTTTACACAAATTTTGACTACGTGCATGTTTGCTTCGTTCCCCTTTTCTTTCACCTTCTTCGCTTAATAGTAATAGCAACAACAAAACATTGTAACCTCTTTCTCCCTTTTCATCGTAAAGCGCATGTTGCAACATACATTTTATCATCTGACACAAGAAATGTGAATGAACGATATCAAGGGCTTCGGTTTCGAGGCTTACAAAGTTTTCTTTTTTCGTCATGTTCTTGCCGCCATTTTCACCCAATTGACATTCATTGTAGCGGAAAAAGAGAGTGGATTGTATAATTTACTTTCTATTATATCACATGTCGATGTCCGTTATCAATTGTAACAACAACCATTTCCCCTCACAATTTTTGTTGCTTCTATTTTTGTCGTTTTGTAAAAAATTTGACGATGTTTTTTAAATGATTTTCATAAATCACCTTAGGTTGACTTTTTTGCTGATATCTTCATTAATTGATGAATAAACTCCAATGCAAAAATATTTGCATTTATTTATAGAATTTTTTATTCCAGAAGTGCTTTTATTAAGTTTGTTAACCCATTTCTAAGTGATGCCTAAACAATAATATTGGGTCAATGGGAGTGAGGGAAGAAGAATGGAATAAAACATTTCCATTTAAGTCAGAGGGGTGCCAACATTATGTAAGTTGATGGGGACAGACTAAGACTTCTATTGCGACTTTTCTTCCTTTTCTCTCACAAACCTTTAACCCCATTTTCATGAAGGATTTCGAGTCGAAATGCTAAGTATTAAAATAACACTCAACATGTATTGTCACAATTAAGAAATTAGAACAATTTTGAGTGACAATAGTCGAAGCTACACTTGATCACTCATCATTTTTCTTTCTTTTTGGTGTCTCTGACTAAATTGAAACCTAGAAAAACAAAAATCTTCTTCATGTTTCCTTAACATATTATTTAATGAATAAACAAGCGCAAAAAATGCGACTATCGAGTTTCACGAATGTTCTCATTTATTTTCCTTTCATAATAATATATATCGGCTGTTCTGTGCTAAAACGCCGTGACACTCTACAGATTGAAATGAGTGAGTTAGATGATTTTTTGTATTGGAAACTTTCTAAAATAACAGATAAAAAATTGTGTGAATAGAAAATTACATAAAAGCCAGCATGAGAATTTGTGCAGCTGGTTTGATGAATCATGAAACAAGAATCGCTTTCATTGCTTACTTATCATGTCTTATAGCATCACTTGAAGTATTTGGGAGAAATAAAAATAATACAACGATCGTAACCATATTTGTTCTTTTTTCATTTCCTGATCCATTGGAAATTGGAGCATTCGATGATTACAGAAAGTTGTTGGACTTTTAAATAGTATCTCGTACCGGAAAACCTATAAATTGTTTCAACGTAATGAAAAATGTTTTTGATGTTTTGAATTTGAAGAAATTAAAAACACAGCAAGATGAGTCGACAGTAATGGATTTGGTTTATCTGTAGATTTTGAGTTGTCCTTAATTTTTCGCCAATGTTTTATTAACATTATTCACAATTTTTCCGACACTTTGTGAAAAATGTAAAATCATTTCTGTTTTCTTTCTGTTTAATGTTTAAATAATTCTAATTTTCTTATTTGTGTTTCTTTCTTACCATAGAAACAAGGCGGCCAAACTAACGATAATACGACAACTGCCCATTAATCATCACACCTCCTGAATTCCCCCCTGTAACTTGACTAAGTAAGTTTTGTTAATATGTAAACGCTAGCCGAAAATGTAAAGACCAAACGAACAAACATTAGAGCGGCAAGAAAAATTCTATTTTGGACATCAAATTTAGGTCAATTATGATCGGCGCAACTGTGCAACTGTGTTTGTAAATTCGGTTATTTTGTGCGTTTCGTTCACATTTGAGTAAGCAAGAGTAAAATGGAAAAGCATTTACTTGCTTTTCTATTGTTGGTGATTTACCTCCGCTAGAATTTCTCGAATATCTATTACTGTCGGAACAATTTTTTTTTTTCGCTTAATGGAGGCTGCTTGCTAGGTGCAGATGGTTAAAACGAACAAAAAAAACAACAAAACTTGTACGAAAATGAGTACACAAACCTCGTAATCTCATTTCAATGGCCTTTCTCCCTTTAAAATCATCAAAGATTTCGATCTTTATTTGGCTTTTTGTTTCATTCTCATATCCAGGTTAGAATCGAGAATGTAAATTTAAGCTAATGCGTTCTACATCTACTCGATTTATCAATTTTCACTTTCAATACTTATTCACTTTCATTCGATGATGTGTTTTCGATTTTATTTTAAATGCGGTAAGCATTCGCTCGTGAATAATAATGAAGAGAATAAACTTATACGACATCATCTTGAATAAAGAAGAAAATTTAGTGACATGGAAAAAACCAGTTTTCATCAACGAATATTTTTCTGAAACTTTTACTTTTAATGGATCGTGAGATCATAGAATTAATTGAGATTTACATTTCATGTATGGATGAGCTTTATTGACGCTTTATGAGATAGCGTAATCATATGACTGAAACAATGTCGTGACAATTCGTCGTGATTTTTTTCCCCAAAGTGAGTTTTGACTTTTCCTTAATCTTTTGCCCCTAAAGATACTTTAATCAATAAAATTTATTAATTCTTTGATATTGGTTATTAAATATTCATTTCAATATAACACGAAGTCCGATTGATCCAAGCAATAACACATTTTAGTAATAAAACTCAAAACTTAAGCACTAATAATAAAATTTTACAAGCTTTTGTCTGTAATGTCGACAAATTCATAGACAAGAAAAGAATAAATTAAATTAACTTAATAAATTTCTTTAATTACAAGTCCAGTATTATAATGTCAACAGTTTTATTGTTGAAACTAATTTTATAATTTTCATTTCTTTCCATAATCCAAAGAGAAAGTTTTTCGAATGTTTTTGTTGTATTTTTTATTTTTGCATTTGAATTAAAAGTATTAAGTAAATAAGTATTGTTCAATCGTAAATAAGTACAGTCGCCAGTGAGGGTTAAAAGATGAGAGCGAAAAGAAAAGTGAGCGACGAATCGATTCACATGTGTTTAATATAAAAAAATTCGCTGCTTATTTTTTGAGGTCAGGGTTTCTCAATTTATGAACAACAGAATAAGTATTAAAAAAACCCACAAAGGAAAGAAGTTTGCGCATCAAAAGTATTTTATGCACACATTGACAATGTTAGAGAAATCTCAATGTGTTCTTGAATGATAAAACTACGATGGATATCTTGACGTTCTAATTTATGAAACAGAAACTTTATCTATCTAATTCGAGAGCTACAATATTGCGCCAAATAACATTGAATGTTGTAAGAATTTCAGAGGAAAAGTGAAAATATCGGAATTTTCCTTGCCTAACTGTAAACGAAGAAAAATAAGCAAGAAATGAAAAACGTGGTTCCCGACACGATCATCAACAGACCCATGTTTCGTCATCGCACACAGAGCATTTGGTTTCAAGAGCTCGAAAACAAAATTAAAGAAAAAAATCGTTAGACAGCCAAATGTCTTACGACATTTCATGAAAAAATAATCTTAACGAAAAATAAAAAGCGAGTCTCAACTACAAACAACACAACGACTGAGAGCATGTTTAAATTTTTTTTTTCATATTCAACATTGAGTTGTTATTTTTTTCTACAATAACTCCCGTTGAAATTGGGTCAGCCATTGAACTCTCTAATACTTACATACATAAGCGAGGTTTCCGAAGTTTATGAACAAACTCATACAATTGCACAATTTCGACATTCATTCATTACACGGTATGAAAAAAGTTCAGTAAAGTCTGGCTGGCTGGGAAGCGCAAATCATTTGATTTTAAAAGTGTTGATTGTTTAAAAGTTAAATGCTTAAGCATAATCGAATTGATTTTTATTGAAAAGTTTTCAACATTTCGTGGTGAAGGAAATCCTACAAAGTTGCAATATTTTTTTTTGTCAGTGCCGTCAAGTTCATATGTCTATCCTGTTCACTCCAATTGCTTTTCCTTATTTTTACTCTCCACCATCATTTTCTGTCTCTTTCGTTAATTTCTTCATTCTTCTCATATCTTCAGAAATTTTCACGTGCGTCATATAAATTTCTTTACAATCGTTAAATTCATAAATTCGAAGTGTCAACAGCTTGCACTTTTCATACTTCAAATGAAGAAAATTCCAACAATCTCATCATGTTAAGCTAGAAAGACATTTGTAAGCAATTAAGTCATTGCGGTGCAACATAAATTTTCTTTTACATTCATTCAACGAAAATATTGCGTAAGATAAAAAGAGAAGAAAATTGTGCGGTGTTTTTCACGATAAACATAACTAAGTGGCTCGTGAACACAGCATGATATTATGTTGAAGGCGAAGAGAGTACGTTGTTCCACTTCAAGTCCAAATATGCATAAACATAAGCTGCGAAGTGCTTTTTCCTCATTGCACAATTATAGGCATTAGGAAAACCCTCGTATTACATCCAACAAATTATAAGCATGAATGATTATGTGTTTGGAATTTTTAAAATTTACTTTAACTAACGTTCGATTATCGGACAGTAGCAAAGATTGAATTTAATGATCTGTGACATTGGAATTTGGTCATGATTCTTAGAACTGCGTTTGCTCAATGATTCAGTTGAATGAATCCTTTGAAATGTCACGAGCAAAGTAGATAATTAAGTTCGCTCTTAATCTGTGCTACTCTTAACCACATTTTCAGAACTCTGTCAGCTGTTTCATGTGATTCATAAAAGAATTTTTTCTCGTCTGGAGTTAGTTTCATAGTGACACACAGCTTCTGTCTGAGACATTATTAATAATTGATATTTACGATAATCACAATTAAAACACTGACTGGTAGATTCGCTAAGGTCGCTTATGAAATGACTAAGCTTTTCAGTAGACATTCAGATAAATGGATTTGTTTTCAGTCTTTCTAAATAATGAAGTCTTGGAAAATAAGGTCAGATGAAAATATATTCAATGAGATTTTTCAGCACAAATCAACAAGATAGCCAACGTTTGATGTCTTCTGCTCCAAATTTTTCACGACAAATGAACGACAGTTTTTTCTCCGCGTTGATTGATGTGTCTCATTAGCAGCGATCCAATCGAATGACACATCGCAAGAATCGTCGGAGTTTGTGAATGAATGTGATTATCAATTGGCATGTTGAATGAAGTAATAAATAATAAGAATCTTCATACACTCTTCCATGTTATTTTCCATCGATCACTTCACAATTGATGAAGGAGAAGAAGAAGATGAAGAAAAGGTCTAATAAACCGTGATCGTGTGCTGCAATACCAAAAATTATTTCTTTAGCCACTCTTGAGTTTAATGAACTCAACATCCAAAGTTTGCCAATGTAGTTTACGCAAGCCACAACATCGCACAGGAAAGCCTCGCAACAGCTGTTCAAGCATAAATACTTGCTGTGTATTAATGCTATGATGTAAATTTCAAACATTTACTGTAGAACGAAGTTGAACAACATTTTTCATTATTCACAGCCTTACTTTGCTGTACATAATTCCTTTTTATTTCACTTCAATGGTGAAAGTAAAAAAATCTACATTTTCAAGCGGTTTTTATTTTATTTTTTTGACAACAATAAAACCTTGAAAAATTTTTCACGATATTTTACAACATAAAATTGTCCCACCCATAAGCGAAGACATTGCAAATTTTAGTGTTCTCTCAACAGTTTTATTTTGCAAATAAATTACACCAACAACAGCTCAACCACGTAAGCACATCATAAATATGTTCAGTTGAGACGAACAGAAAGCATAAAAAGTCATAAAATAAAAAAATAATTTTTTGACCCTTAAATGGCAATGAAAATTAAAAAAAAAGTCTGTGAGCAAAGTAAAAAATCTCGTTGAGTTGAGTAACTTTGTGTCTATTTACTGCTAGATTTGTGAGAATTTTCACTGAAAACCAAAAGCATTTTACACAACTTTAATTCTAAGAAGAAATTTCTTAATTACTTTTATTGAATTAAGATGAGAGTTCATTAAAACTCATGAAGTGTTTAGTTTTATAATTATTTGCCTCCATTAGCTCTTGAAACGTAAATGAGTTAATTTCCTTTTCACTGTCTTTGCGAACAATGCTGAACCAAACTCGATTTCGAATCGCCCGGTTACGATTATGTAAAGGAAACAAGGACCTTTATTACTGTAGTTAGTTGTATGGAAATGTTATTCAATAGAGTGATTTTTTTCACTAATGCGATTGGATGTTAGAGATTTGTTGTGGAACATTCAGTTGAACACTCTCCCTTGTTTCAAACAAATTAGGAACACTTTCATTTGGATTTGAGTGTCATCAATCAAAACATGAAAAATAAAATACAGAAAATTTTGGGTCATCATAAAACATTTTTGTTGTTGACGTAATCGGATGCAGTCAGCTGTGAAGAGTCTTCGCAAATAACTAAGAAATATGCAAAGATATTTCATAAAGTTTAAACGCGCAAGTTCAAATTCAAAGCATCTAGGATATCTATTTTCATTACATTGGAAATTTTTCTATAGTTTTGTCCTTGGGAAATGTTATTTCACGGAGGGAAATATATTTCATTTAATTGTTTATTCAGAAGTGATCATTAATTATGCATTTAACAATGTGAGTAAAGCATGTTTGTAATTTCCCGACGTGATAGTTTCCATTCGAGATTGAAGTGATTCTCTGAAAATAAACTTAAATTCATCTTGAATGTTCATCAAATCGATTTCACATCTAGCAACGATCAGTCGTCCCAAATTGTGGTGATCAAGATTGAAGTAATTAATTGATTTGTTTATTCGTCGTGCATAGAACTCTGCGATATTTTTTGAAGCTCTGACAATAGCAACGAGTGCATCTTTAAGTTTGGCACTCATCCTTTTCTTGATATCTTTCTCAAGTAAATTTCCTGTGCGTTTTCGATATTCTTCACTGATCAAATTGATCTGTCGAAAGCTTTTCTTCGCCAGCATTTCAATAATTGTTTTTTCATCAGTAAAACTTTGAGACAACTTTTTCTCCAAAACTATTGCTTGGTTCTTTGCTGATTGTGGATCACAACTTATCGATTCATCACGATTACCTTCTGATAAGATTAGGAGAAGTTTCTTATAATTTCCAGTTTTTCCCTCACGAATTTCTTGATCAAGTCTTTTACTAAATATTTGCTGATAAGTTGCGCAAATTTTTCTTATGTTTGAATTTGACATTGTGCACAAAATTTCGATCAAAGCATCGTCATCATAATTAGCATCACCGTAATCGTATTGAGTTGAAAACGACAACAATGTAAGGGCGAGATCTGTCAGCAACCCATCATTTTCAGACTTACGCAATTGACGACAGTACAACTCTGAAGTTGGCATCAAAAGGTTAATGAAGAGACTTTTGATGTTTCCGTTGATTTTTAACTTAATTGCGTCAATAAGGTTAATTTTGAACAAATTTTTGTAAGTTTCAGCAATCTCCAATCGTTGGCTTAATGTTCTTTTACATAAAATGTTTGTTATTCCTTTTTTGTCTCCACAACTTAATGATCGATTAATATTTCTACAGTCAAGCACAGCATTGAAATTGTTAAAAGGCACAAGTGTGGGTCGTTCCTAAAATATTTTTCATTTTTATGATAAGATAAAAGTTCACTTTATGATTCAGTTTCATTTGCTTACTTTTTCTAGATTTTTAGGCCGAATATACGATTCATAATAACTCGGCGGTGGATCATCGTTTGATGAATTTGTGCTTACGGAAGTTGACATTTGATCTGTTTAACTTTCTTTATTATTTATCAAAACGATTGTTACTTCAAACGTTTAACGTACTTTCCGTTCAAGGAGAAACAAGAAAATAACAAAAATTAATCAAAATAGATATTTTGTTATCAAACGTTATCTTGAATCGGTTTTTGATTAATGTTCATGATAACAATTTATCGGAAAGATTCATTGCCTTCTTCAAGCCAAATAAGTTTTTTTCTTTCCGTGAAATCGAAAATAAGCATCCTTGGAAAACCATTGCGATGCTTTTCTAAGTTTATCGACCTTTTACCCTACATTTCTTTCATATTTTTCTTCTCCCCTTCGCCGCTTTTGTGTATGAATGAGGTGAGAGTTCAAGATGTTTCTATATTTTTTCTGATATTAAAAACAAAACATGAAAGAGAATGAGTTGTTAACGCTACTATGAATTTGATTAAACTCAAACAATTTGTCTTCTTCATGATTAATTTAATAATCCAATTAACACACATCTTCGGCTTTGGGATTTCCTTTCAATTTTCTTTTGATTACATTTATGATAGAAAATCTATTTCGGATGATCTTTATAAATAACTGCTTGAGTTTGTTAACTGATAACTTTTTGCTTTACTACCCACTAGACTGTGAACTTGCAACCCTGACTTTTACAATATTAATGTATTTCTTTCAATCAATTGAAAACTTCAAATGCATTCATAATACAAGTGTAAGGCAAGACATGAAATTGAAAGAAAAATCAACTAAATAATTATGACTTACAAATAATTGTTCAACTACACATGTAAAGCACCTACAGAGCTTGTTCGCTTAAATGTGCATTTATTATTTTATATTTCGTGGTGTATAAAACTTAAGTTAGTGGGCAATAGCTCTAAGGCTTAGAGGCACCACTCAAGTGCGGCAGTATTTGAAATTACAATGAAAAGTCATGGTCAAAATCATAACCAGCTCTCAAAATGGCTGAACTTTTACAGTCGCAGTCAAGCTTTTCAAATTAAAAGGGAAAAAAGAAGTGAACAACAAGTATTTAAAGTGATAAAACTCCGAACCTTTATCTGTAGTGACCCTGGTAAGTTAGATACGTTTTGTTTGTCGTTTCGGCATCTATGTGAAGGAGATTCGTTGCTCTCAATTCGATTTAATTTTTTTTTTCTAGGTTGCTACTCTGAGCTAATACTTGCGACTCATTTTCCTAGAAAATTGTTTGTTATTTCCACTTACATACTTAGATTTCTCAATGACTTCGGCGAAAGTCCTAAAGCAGTTTTATTTTTCTTCGATAGTCTTCGAATGATTTTTTAAAAAAAAGGTTTGTTCGGATTTTATTTATTTATGATCAGTGACATGCTAACATTTAAAAAACGCTATTTTCTTATTCGTCATCATCCATGGAGTGACCCTCAAACTAAGCAAAGTTTATTGACATATTTATCTAAACACAAACTCATAGTCACCGACACCAATGCACACAAAGTTTTACTATTATTATTTTTTTCTATTACAAAATTCATCAGCATGAAAAATGAAAGTGAAATAAAAAAATATTGAAAAAAGTTTGAAAAGAGTAAGATGGAGATAGTTAAATATTATGTAAGATGTATGCAAAGTAACGGTGAATTTTTTTTATGATTTTACCAAAAGTAATTTTTTACATTGAAGGTTGCGGTTATGCTTTTAGTTAAGATGATAAAATGTAACAAATTCAATTGTTATGTTACGTATAAAAATGTCTCTCGAGATAGTGAAAATATTTCATAGAATTTTTCATTTCTATTTAATGATTACAAATTGATCAAAATTTACAATGTTTTGTTGTGTTATGCAACTCGATGATTTATTAAATTGTTCAACTTGTAACCGGTCACATCCATATGACATACTTGAATTATGCTGTCGAGGTTGTACAACGACATCAACTTTCTTTTTATAGCGCTTTCAATATCATGAATAAATGATCCAACATTAATTTTACATGGTGTTATGCCTATCGATATTTTTCTAACACTAACGTGATGCAATCTATTAACTGAAATGATAATTAGATGAAGAAATTAATTCAATATTATTGTGTTATAAAATCTTCAAATGACCTCTTGACTTTATAGTTTGTTGAAACTCAGCAAAAAATATGCAAATAAACTTTTTTCAAACACAAAAGCATGGTGAAAAATTAAGATTATTAATTTTCTTTCAAGTCTTGAACTAATTCTGAGCCCATTGAAATCAAAACATCATTAATATTGCCAAAATGATAATAAATTATAAATCAAACAGCAGTGCTTTGTGCTAGTTAATGTTAAAGTCGAGTTTATTAGGTCACAATATGAAGGCTTGTAATCACAGGACAATGGCCCCAAATGGCCTCGTGACTCTATATTAGAAAATGTTTCTAAGCATTTGTGAGTGTTGCTTGTTCGTCGCGAGGGTTGCGTGCGACGAAAAATTAATAAAAACCGATTCGTAATGTCATGAAATGTTTGATGAATCATTCATTTTCGCACTCTATTGAAAGCGTTTCTAATCTCTGATTATTATTGAGAAAATATAACACTTGCAATGACCCAAGAAAGAGAATGGATAATTCTCATAACACAATTTCCCAAGCTAATGTTCATCACGTTTCTTAGCATACAAAGATTCACATTAGTCTTTCGAAACGAAACAGAAAACACGGAAGTGCAAATATATTATTTTCTGTATGGAATGAGTACATTTAACTCTTCGGCTCCTGAGTTAGAAGACCAACACAGCTGTGCTGCTTTCATTCTGTTTGATGAACATTAAAAATGTTAAAGTGCAAGTTAAATTCGTTTAATTGCAATTTATATTTTCTCGTGCCTCATAATAATTTCTAAGTTAAGCATTTCAACAAGCTAGAGATGGGAAAAGTAATGCAAACGTTTTATTAAGTATCTCCAATTGATGATTAAGTGAATGCAATTCGACAATTATTTTCATGCTCATTGCCATCAAGCAATGTTACTAAACTTATGTACATATATTTATTGCTTCATGGAAACCATGTATAGGTAATATCAAGTATCAATAACTGTTGAAACTAATTTGAAATTTTCACAACTTGCTTTGCTAACCAAAATGAATTTTCCTCTGGTATGATTTAAAGTTATTTCCCTGGGTTTTCTACCCCATTCAGAAGCAGCAAATAAATTAAATTTCATCCATTCACAAATTTCCTCCCAGGGACGTCTTCGCTCTCGTCCGCCTCAACTGCAGCAACATGAAAACGAATGACTAGAAAATCCATACTATTCGAGGTGAATAAACTTAACGTTGCACTAGGTCGCGGATTGCAAAACCGATAGAGAGTACAACACATACATAGACAACTACTAGTGCATGTGCAATTGCAACCAACGATTGAAAAATGCAAAATAAAAACTTCAAACTGTTCGCTTCTTTTTCACAATTATACACTTGGCAAATACAATGCATACGTGTATATGTCTAATGCGATTTGCGAAATAATCAATGCTTCGTCTCGCCTTGCAGCCGCTAAGTGCATACTGTTTCTTTTCAGTTTAAGAAAATATATAAAAATAACTTCTAATGTTTTAATTTGTTCTTGAACCGATACCCAGAGGTATGCTAACGATAGAAATATAAATAAAATATTTTGTTATTAATCTCGGATTAAAATCTACTTTTAATTTATATTGACTTAATTGGATTTACCCATTAAAATTTTTCTCTAAATAGAAAGATTTATTGTTTCAATAGTTTCAAACGAAAAACCTTTCGAAAGATATTTTTGTTTCCAATTTCAACGGTTTCTAAAAATTTAAACTCATACAACTGTTGCAATGAAAACCAGACGTTGCTTTGAGTATGCTTCAGACGTTTCGCTACTATACAACGAGCAACTGTTTCTCATCACAAGCTACATGTCGCATGGACAAAATAATTTCGTCACTCACATTTGAAAAAGTTTCTTGGAAAATAAATTTATGAAAACTTTACAAAAATTTATGAAATTTCTCTTGTTACGTTTTGTTTAAAAATAGCTTTAGGTATCTTATGGTTAATTAAAAACGTAAGAAACTGTAGTACATTTTAAGTTCAGTTATAAGTTAGAGACAACGTTTGATAAACTTTATTTCATGTTTGCTAAATACAACAAAATTTATGCTTGCCCATAGTTGTGTAAGTGAGAACTTGTTCTCTTTAGCTGGATTTATGTTTTATGCTGTATGTACACTATTTTTTGGCTGTGATTTCAGAGAGAAACTGAAAGACAGAGAGCGGGAAGGAAGTTCATTGAACCTGACGACCCTGAATCTTAAGGGCATCAACCCCATTTGCAAACATAAATTTTATCGATATTTTCGTTCATTTCTCTGATTCTCTACTCTCGGAAGCATCTCAAATGCTGCAAATTGAATAAGATAGCAGAACTGTTATGAAATAAGGAGAATTGCTTTTTTTCTATTTTATATCCACATTATGCAACATGAAAAAGGCGCGTCGATCAAACACATTAATGTGATAACTCGAAAGGATTTTTCTGTTAATTACTAGCAAATGCATAAAATATAATTATTCTGACAACCTCGTTAAAGAAAAAGAAAGGAATTTAATTTATTTTAAATTCGTTTGTAAATAAGTTGTAAAAGTCGGGCAAAAAAAATATCTCATTAAAAGAATATTGCTTAAATTGCTTAAATAATTGGTGAACAAAATGAATGACCTTAATATGATGGGAAAGAACAAAGTTGATTTTTTACAGTTGTTTCAGATAAGTTATCATATACATGTGAAAAATTACCCTGAAGGGGAAGAACTTCTTGAAATTACATGAAAGTTAGTAGAACATTCTAAAGGCTGAAATTTTAAATCGAAACCGGAAGTTTATGAAACTTGAAAAATGCATTTTTTAGAATTCATTGCACACGTTATAATACAAGGAAAGTGTAAATCAATAAATTCCTTAGACATTGCAAGCACAAAGTGGAATAAAATTCGCTGTGTTAATTTATAAATGTTGGGATAGGTTCAGCATAAAATAAGCAAAGCAAAAGTATGAGTCAGATTATAAAACATTAGACAATTTGATTTGAAAATTGTTTTGATATTGCGTAATAAACTTTGGCAAAGAAGAATAAACTTTAAAACTCAGATCTAGGAAGTACATGCTAAACAAGGAAATGGAATCTGAATTGAAATCTCTTCTATACATATATTTATCTATCTTTTATGACGACAATTAAGAACGAACTTTAACTCATGCGATTTAAATTAATGAACATTTCCACACAGCAGAAAAAGGAAGTTTAAAAGTTTTTTGAACCGAACGTTTATTATTCTTGTGCTTTTATTCAACGTTCAATGTTTTAGAAATTTTCGGGTAAATATTTCGCAATGTTATAAATTTATTAATAGCAAACTGACGTCATTTTTAGATGATTAATAGACGGTAGAAATTTGATTTGTCTTTATGCGTGTATTTATTTCTTTGAGAGAAAAATTTTTCATTGCATTTCATTATCATTTCATTCAAAATTATTTTTATTTAATATTTCTGCAGTTGATTCAGTTAATTTACTAAATATTTCGTTTAATTTCTACTTTACAAAAATTTAAGTCTATTTATTTAAGCTATCAGCTGGCTTAAGAGAACATGACAAGGCTCGTAAAAAAAATAAGTGCGTAAGGAAGTCAATAAACTCAAAGTGCTACAGTGTATACGAACGAGAGAAAGAGAGAGAGGGAAGAAGAAGAAAACAAAATTCGCTAGGCCGGTTATTCACATCAAAAAAAGTTTATTTATTTTTTGTTTTTTTGGCTATATCACATTCAAACACATCGTCTTCAATACATTCACAGATGGATGAAAGAATTCTATTAAACGACATCAAATGTTTTGCATTAATTTCTTAAACAAAATGCTTTTAAACATTCTGAAGAAGAATCATTGAATGTTCAGCAAGCCAATGAAAAAGAGAAGATTGCAAATTATCATTTGATAAGAAATCAGAGAGCGATGAACTGACAAACGAACATTTTTACGAATTCAAAAATAAAAGAAACAAATTTCAAGTTCACGTTCAGGGTTGCCAAGTAATTGAAGATTCTTTTTTTTGCGAGTGTTCGTTTCGGACGAATGTGTTGCCGTTATTTAATATTCGTTTTAACATTTCATTGAACTTTGCCTAAAAAATAATTTGCTCAGCACCGAAACATTCAACTGCTGGTTGAAGCTAATGTGCTAATCTAGTTAAAAGATTCTTAAAGTTCAAGATAACTATTAATTGAACATTTGAAAACAGCTGACATTCCGCTAGTAATGACTATACTCAATAAAATGTAAACAATTTGCTTCAAACAAAACGCTGTTCTATCATTTCACAACAACAATAAGTATTCGTGATGATTTCATTGCTACTAGTTGAAACATTTTCTTTTCAAAAGGAGCGTGTTTGGTAGACAATTTTTAAATAAACGTTCAAATTAATCACGAACTTCACGGTCTTTAATAATTCTATTGAATATAAAAAGGAATGTAAATAGTTTTTCATTCATTCAACATATCATCAATGTCTGCTTCGCAAACTTTCATATCAATTATTGAGTCTTCTTTGTAAAGTTGCATGCTTCTGTTCAATAAATACTTTCGTCTCTCTTTGTAAGGCTAGACGACTGCATCTACAAATCGCTCATAAACTCTCATCCTACTCCACTATTCCACCCTTTATTTAGAATAATAAAAAAATCCAACTTGCGCTGTCGAATGAATGAGAAAAAGGGAGAAAAATGTAAAATTCAATTTCAATGTCGCCATTTATTTGATTGCAATTTTCATGTTCGCCCAGTTTTATGAGTTTTTTGACTTTTCAATGGTAGCAACATGAAGCCGGGGATTGAAGACATCAAGCGAGAGTAACAAGTCAACGGCAACAGTCCGTTGAGATGTCGTAAAAAGGACAAAATTTATGCGACGACTTTATGCAGTGTGCGAAAGTATTGTTAAAGTCAGTCGGAGAGAAATTCCCTTCAATATTTTATTAACAATGCGCCCCTTTCTCCCTGCTATATGTTACTAGATGCAGCTGACAAAGAATTGCAATATAAAAGTTTTTTTTTCTTCATAAACTTCGCTCTTGAAGGGCGAAGAATCAAACTGACGAAAAGAAAAATAAAGTTTTATGTAATCTCCAAATGCATCATCAACACAATGAGGTTTATGCTCGTCGTCACATTACAACACACAAACACTTACAACTGCGCAACATACCCGTGAGGGTATGGCAAATGTTTTCAATTTTTCGGAGTTCGTTGACCCCAAGCGTAGCACTTTCATCCATGTGTTTGTAAGTGAAGCATGTTCAATATTTTTGTGTTGTTTTTGTTCATGTTTCGTGTTCTTATGCGAGAGAATGAAAATATTAATCGGAGTTTGCGCGCCAAAACTTTTGTTCATCCATACAATTTGAAAAGAAAAAGTCGTTAAGGATTTCTTTCTCTTCATAGCGTTCATCGAACGATTTTGAAAAATCTTCAGCAGCTGATTACATTTGAAGTCAACTTTGGGTTCATTAAACGCTATCGTTGTATCACAGAATAAAAAAAAGTTTAATCTAAAAATACTGTTTCTCTAGCAGCAGCTGATTCAATAAACTCGAGAATATGTTTAGAGTCTCGCACGCAATTTCTTTGAGAGACAAAGCAAGCCAAAAGACATTTATAAATATTTTGAAAGATTGATATCAACATCCAACTAATTTTCGTGTATCATGCGTATCAAAGAAATTTTCCATTAGACATCACATATGGCTTGTGCGAAATTTAAAGCAGAAGAAAAAGACCATTGACCGATTGACTTAAGACTTGAAATTTTACGCATTATTTGATAAGATAAGGAAGTTATTGCTGATCACGCACTCGAAAAGTCTTTCTTCAAAGTTGAATTAAAATTGGCAAATCGAGTTAATGAACCACAATTTGTCTGTAGGTTTCATTGCAAGGTTTTCGTTTCGCAAGCTCAAGACTTTTAAGACTAAAAGTCATTTAAGTGTCAGAATGCAAAATCTTCGTTGTCGTCATTCTCACTTAAACTTGATATGTGAAATTTTAAACCATCCGCGCCAGTAATATTAGCACATTATGAAAAACTTTGAAAATCGAAGCAAAAAGGCAAATTTTTTCAATGTCATCGGAGCCGTTAAAATGAATAAATAAGCAAACAACACAGAAACAAATGAACAGTTAGACTTTTCATTCAAAGAGATTTCAATGTTAATTTTTGCTATGGTTTGTCACTTTTTTACTTCTCTTTGACCGTTTTGTGTATGTGATGTCGTTGACGGAACCCGTTGAATATCAACTTCAATGTGCAGCTTTAATTCATTTACCGATTAATGAACAAAATATTTCCGAGAAGAGAGAAATGTTTGTGGTGGTAAGTATTTAAATATCACAAATATGAACCGATTATAGCACGAGTTATTCGAAGCCCATCATGAGCATTATGGATGAGTGAATTTAAGTTTGAAGAATGCCCAGGAAGTGGTTGCCAGCAATCACCAAACGTAACTGTAGTCTCAAATTGTGTTGTTTTTTACTTTATTGTTTCGTTGTGTCGAGTGAACTTGACTTTATGCAATCACAGAGAAAGTCATCGCACTCGACTCATAACGTTTTTTCGCCCGTAAAAAATTACATTGCACAACCGACGACAGAATAATTAAAAAAAAGAAACAGATGCATCAATTTGTGGTAGGCTTGTCTTTTCTGGTTGACGTGAAAAAGCTTTTCTTCCGCGTTTTGAGGCTATAAAAGCCGCCTTGCGTTTTTCTTCTCCCTTTCGTCTACATTTTTTCTGCAGCATATTTCTTTTCTGCAATATTATGTTGCACATGTGTTATGAAATGCAGGAGAAAAACTTCTCAACGTCAATGAGGGCAGTGAACTCGACTAAATATGAACAAATATGTGGTTTTGGACGTTTGTGGTTCATAAAAATATGCTAAACTGTTAACGAAGTTGCAAACATTATGCGAAACTTCAATGCAGCTAATTCTCCATGAAGTTTTCATAAACATTCCATAACATCATAAAACAAACATTGAAGAAGTCAATCATAACTTTCCCATAAGAATTATTCTTGCTATTGCTAACATTCTATTGGAGTTAATTAAATTCTTTTGTAATTCTCTCTTTATTAATTGAAATATTTTTGTTTTTACGTCTTCTGTACTTCATTGCTTACTTATTGTATCATTTATTACAACCACATTGGGCCTCCGCATTGGCAGAAATAAAAACACATTAAAATAGTCAGTTCATTGACCTTAGCGCTCTTATCGCCTTTTCCCCATTCTTCTCTCGCTATCTCACTCTCCATTGAACAATTCATTCTTCATTGTTGTGGACTCATTCAAAGCGATATTTAAAACACGATAATATAAATCATGCATGACTATCGGCATCGTAATTGAGTGACAACTCTTCGGGACGATCAAAAGCGTTTTGCATACATTTTCATTTTCCTCCAAAAAAAAGAAAAATTAAACCAAAAAATGAAATATGAATGAGATGAAGATTTAAAATTGTAAATTTCTTTTCTTGTGCTTCAATTTGACACACATTCAATGCAAATTATCTGAAAGAAATTGTCGTTAATTTGCAATTCTTCCTGGAGAAGTGTCGTGAATAGGACGAAATTTAAAATTTTAAAGTCTAATGTTTATTTTCTTCTTATTTTTGTTATTTTGTTTCATTGCGAGATGAATTTTTTGGATAAGGCAATTGTTAGACGGATGAAATTCGTCATTAAAAATTAACAGATGTTCAATATTAGACAATCATCGTCTAGTCAATGACTTGCAGTGCAGTTGTGTTTAACAATATTAAATATTTACACAAGAAACAAAAAGATGTAATGAAATATTAAAAATTTAAGAATTTCTGTATATTTAGAAAGCTCAGCTAACAGTCCAAACAATCTTGTAAAGAAGAAGATGAGAAAATCTGAATCATGAATGAAAAGCACGCTTGAGAATGACAACAGAAATTCGGGAATCATTGACATGTCTCTATGTAAATTAGCAAATATCATTAAAATTGCTAAGTGGCTTCCTCGTTACAACGCTTTGAAACGTGTCATTGGTGCTTTCGTCACCTCCCAAAAATCTTTTTAAAGTTTGTCGTCAATCACTCGGCAGCTCTTTCAGATGATGATCCAAAAAGCATTCTACTTCGAACGCCCACAATGCTAATGCTGCTTAACGCTTGCTTCCCTTTACTTATTCTGCAAGAGAGAATGCTCATACAATGTTTAAGGTTCAGGGCTTTAAATAGACGAAAACGAAAATTCTCGTTCCAAAACAAGCATTGAGAAATTCACGTCCAAAGTTCAACGAACTCTCAGAAGCTGCTGTAAGAATTTCTCTGTGACGCTATGGAGAATTTTTCATTTGTTTTATTCGTATACGAGAAATTCATTATCACTGAAGTTCTTTCTTCTATAACCAGCGAACCACCACACAAGTACTTCTCATCGTAAATATTTTAATTGATTAATTTATTTATCAATGCAATTGTTGTGTTTTTAGATGATTCAAATGGTGACAATAGATGGAAAAATGTTTCATCATCGCGTGAAACTTGCTTTAATAACATCATCTGGATGCATTACGTAGGATTCAATGAAAAATACGCTACGATGACGAGGCAAAGGCAAAAATCGATATGAGGAAGTACAATGAACAATTGAAGAAAAGCAGAAATAAAAAAAGGAGAAAAAAGTGCTTTGCCATGTCATTCAACCGCAAGTTTTGCTCTCTCCAATTTCAATAAAGTGTTGGTGAGAGGATGCTCGGCAATATTTTCACGCAAAAAGTTTCCTTGAATGAAAAATATGAAAAATCCTTGCTTGAAATGTGTGTGTGTGTGCGTAAGGAAAGCTTTATTTTCACGAATGCGTTCATTAAACTTCCAACCGAATGCGTGAAGAGCGTAGCGACTAACACATTCGAAAACGCGAACATAAAACGATATTCAAGTTGAAGGTTGTGATGCTATGATCCTTAAAGAACTTTTTTGAGAGTATTTTTGGAGAATCTTTCGTTCTCTCCATGTGTTAGTGCGGGGGTGTTTGACTCTTTTAATGCTGCATTTTCTCATTATTACATCATATATGATAGCGAGCGTACGATGAACTTTTGAACTCTTGCAAAGATTATTCGTGTCATGTTCGCCCTTAAAATATCATTGATATTGAAAAAAGTGAATTTCAGATACAAGCAGATCACTTCAAAGTGGTTGTGCAAAGCAATTTTCAAATCTGTGTTCAAAAATAAATACAAGATTGAGACTCGTATGAAATTGTCCTCTCTCTAGGTCATTTAATGTGGATGATCAAGCGAGCTAAATAAATATTCACGGTAAGTCATCAAACTACTATCAAAATAAATGGCGAAAGCGGTCGCGAGCACGCATTTTTTTTCGTCTGACGATATTTAAACTAAGAAATCTTTCTTCTCTCATCTATATTTACATTCTCGAGTATAGCGACAAAAAAACGTTAATAGTCGACAGTTCTTGGCCTTCTTAAAGTTTAATTTCATTTGTTTGTACTACGACATGCCACAATTTTATTTATTTTATATTTTCCTGCGAGACGATTTTCTGTGTTCTTGACTCGCTTTTCATCCAGCACTGATTACACGCCATAGTCGAGATTCAATGCCAAAATGCTGAGTGCAATGTAAAATGAATTGCGTTGTAAACTTGTAACTTGTCTTGCAAAGCAAAGCGTCAGTGATAACGAATGATAACATTATTGTTTAATTAAAATCTTGAGAGAGAGTCAAGGCGCGGCAATTAAAGTTCATGCAACCTAGCAACGATGCTAGACAGGAAAGAAAGTTAAATTCTCTTGGCAATTATTTGAAGATTTTTATTTTCTTTTTCTTATGAAAATCTCTCTAGAATTCACTTCCTACTTCTATTTTCATCTCGTTCTGCATAAAGAGGCACTTTAATGTTGCATGCTTTCATCTAATTGCTTTTCGTTGCGCTCGTTTTTTACTATTTATGATTTGAATCGCTTCAGAAAGATTACTTTTCTAAAGCTGCTACAAACTAATCACTTTCGACCTTCTCATTTCACTTCTTTGATTTTCTTCTAGAGTTACATTTTAAACTCAAACCTGTAATTTTATCGTGATTCATGATGCACAAAAAAAATGTTTCGAGATTTCTTTTCTTATAAAATTTTGTCTTCTTTTTCTTCACCCTAACTTCTTACAAACGAAACAGTTACAAGCGAAAGTCTTTTTTATTCACTTATGTTGCTTTAACCTTCTCTCCGCTTCGTTTTCTTATTCGCATTTGTACCGGCATTCACAACAGTGATTTCAACCGGTTATTTAAACTTCATTCTTTTCATTTCTTTTTCACTTGATTATTTTTTAATTTCCTTCCTAAACATTTTGTCTTGTCTGTGCAAGAACAAGAATGATGAGGTCATTGGTGAAATTTTTTAACCGTTAGGAACCAGAAATTCTTTCTCATGCTTCTTCATCTTAAACCCCGAAAATATTTCTTTTCTAATGTAAATGATTATCAAAAAAATTTCTTTTGTTCGATCATTGAACTAACTAACTGCTTTCTTTCTTTCATTCTTTCTTTGCAACCTTCTAACCGTTAAGTATTGCGCGAAAAGGGTTTGTTTTCGTTTTAAAAGAGTTTAATATTTAAGCTTGTAGATGTTAATATTATAAATGTAAAGAGAAGAAAAGAAAATCAACTTTCACTTACCTTGAATTTACTAATCTAACCATTATCGTCATCCATTCTAGTTCGCCCGAAATCATATATGCAACGGATCTGATCAACCTCACAAAGCAGCTTTCCCTTTTCTTATTTTTTTTTCTTTCTTTCTATATTTTGCTCTTTGATTACTGTTGAATGTTGTAAGCACAGGAAAAAAGATTCAGTCTTTGTCTTTGATCGCAATTCAATTCACTTAACCGTCAAAACTGCCTTTTTTTCCATACACAACAACACTATTGCGCTTTAATTTGTAGCTTCGATTGTTGATTGTTTAAAAATGAAATCTGGGATGGAAGAAGAAAGCATTGCAATTAAAATTTATTGTTTTCATAACATCGACATCTAATTAAAATAAAATATAGAAATTTGAAAAAGGAAAACAATCAGTCAAACACAAGAAACATCGTCCAGCTGAAGCCTAAAAGTTCATTAACATTTCCCTCTTCCTTTCCTCTTCTTGCTCACTCATCATTTTATGAATCAAAAGAAAAAAAATACAAAAAATAAAATTAAATAAAATTAAACGGAAAACTGGTGGCAAGAACGAAGCTGAGAGTGAGTGAAAAAGAAGGAAAGTGCGTAATGTGAGAACGAAGAGAGAAAGAGTGCGTTATATGAAGGTCAATGACCGGAGTGCGTATCGTCGCGTTGCGTATGATATCGATGAGTTCTATACTCCTCGCTGCTTTTGACACGAGAAATAATAAAAATATTTCATTTTGGCTTGAGTTTTGTTGAACTCGCGGGTAAAGTTAACGATCAATAAGTGCGGAAAATTGAAGCTTTACAGCAGGCCATGCCTTGATAAATAAGCACGTGCAATGCATTTCTCAATTCAAGACCTTCCCGTCCGTTATCTTTTATTTCTCTTTCTTTCTACAGATATTCTCACTTTAAACTCGAGAATCGTAACGGGAATGTTTGTAAGCAGAGAACCACGACGAACGATCTATCAGTAATTTATGCAGTTTAAGTCAGCGTTGCCAAACTTAATCGGAGTGCGGAAACATCTCCAGCAACCAAAACGCAATTATTACTCGTTTTTCGCCTTGAAATATTTTTATATTTTTCTCGTTTGTTTTTTTGTTTTAAACTTTTCACAGTGTGGATTGATTCACTGAATTAAATATTTCATTGACATTTATCACATCTAGTGACAAGAATAGAGAAGCGTTGACATGCTACGGAAGTTAAAATTTCTGGAGATTTACATCAGGAACCATAATAGCCATCGCGAGTAAATAAATAAGGTGATCGGGTGATAATTTTATACTAACCTTGATTCACAAAACGTCGTTCTTCTCCGTTGTTTTTTTATACGTATTAAAAATCTCTTAAAAGTTCTGTTCGCAGCCTTCAGAATATTGTCTTAACGGCTTCTGCCGACATTAATTGTCACAATATTTTCAGTCTTCACTTTTCAGATGACACAAAGGATTTTTCTTTTTTTTTCGACACCTCACGGCTGTTACTCTTTTTATATTTTTCTTTTCAATAAAATTATTATGTTATCAGACAATCAGACACATAAAATTTTCCCCCATCGACCTCCACGAAAATTATCGTCGACACTCACTGGAAAAATCTCTTCTTTCATTTTACTTCCGTGTTTGACTCACCGAGGAAACTTTTTCTTTTCTTATTTTCTTCTTTTTATGGCAAATTTTTTTCTTATTCATGCACTTCACGACTCTTCACCTGGACATTGATCCTTGTTAATTTTTCTTCAATAATTCTTTTTTTATCATTTAAGAATAGTAATTTTGACTACTTTTAAGGTACCAATTGATATCATTCAAGTACTTCTTTCAATAACTAAAAAAAATATTTATCTTATCCCAACAACGTTCTCAAAAAATTATTTCATCAAATTCTTTTTCTCACGGATATTTTTCTCTTAAAAAACATTGAAAAATTCTCAGAACACTTTGGGTTTGTTTTTCAAAAAAGTTTTTAATTTAATTTTTATTGATTCAGAACATTTGATTAATTTTAAAGAAAAATCCTTTAACTTCACGTTTTTTAAAGTGGATTTCGCGGTGTATTGTGAATAACTAAATGAAATGATAGAAAATACAGAAAATTTTTCAGAGAGCCAAACAGCAACGGCAAAATGTGTGATAATGTTAGTGAAGGTTCGTTGAACCCCAGAATGTTTGTATAAATTTTGTGTGGCGTTGTATTGTTGCATTGGAGAGAGTCACATGCTACATTATGTTGCTGCACGAAGACACAAATTGTCTCTGAAACACACAGCATAAGCAGCGATCATTATACATCAAATTTCTGTTGCACGACATCGATGAAATAGCAAACGATAAAATTCTAATTGTTGATATGTATATTAACGAAAGAAAAGCTGAATAGGAAAGGAAAATATTGGTAGAGTTTTAGATTTGAGTGTCGCAAGTTTTGTTGCAATGCAAATTTGAAACTAAACTTAAATTCAACAAGCCGTCAATCTATCCATGCAATTTCATAAGTACAGCAAATCTTTTGCATTAATAATAACTCCATAATTAATTATTTGATAAATCTGATGTCTTCACAAAAACATCAATGCTCGGCACTTCTATCGATCTTCTCAAGACATCTTATTCTTATCTAAAAATTGCTTCCTTAAAGTTTTATTCATGAAAAATAATTTGGGTAGCATAAAAAGGTTTACAAAAAACTTAACGGATAAAATTATTTTGAAATTATCATTTTCGATATTCGAATGTGAAATTGTCTACCGACTATTCCCCGTCGAACAAGGTAGCTTCATAAACAAAAGTTTTCTCTCTAAAGCAGACATAACAGTTTTCATAAAATAGGTCATAAAAATAGTAAAGTTCAGCCTTTAAAAATGGCTTCAACAAATCACGACCCTGCGTACGAATCTCCAAGTGGATATGGTGATAGCATTTCCAAAAAACACATCAAATTAGATTCGCGACAAAGTAACATAGAAAAAATCAGAATTCGTAAAGCGAAAGTGAGTATTTTGGTGACGCTCAAATAATTTATCAGTTAAGATTACATGAATTGGTTTACTTGATTAATCTACTATTGCAGATTTATCAACTTCCACGTAGTCAAAAGCTCGCAAAGATTGCAATGTATTCAACTTGTTGTCAGCCAAATTGTTGTTGTAAAGGTTGGCGCTTACCTGAAGAGCACAGACACAAAGATGTTGAAATAGATCATTGTCCAAATGTATATGATTTATGTCGAAATGCAAATTGTAAACATTCATTAGGTGAGTAAATTATCAAATTTCTGATTAATTTTTATTTATTTTTTTATAATTTTTAAGAAATGCATTTTTCACACATCAAAAATATTTCAAATGAGCAAATGGATCAACTTCTCTCAATCATTGTCGACGCTGAAGTTCTGTATACAACATTAGGTCTTCAAAAAGATAAATTTATCAAGAAAATTTATTCATTTCTATTCACGTTTCTTCATTCTTGTGTATCTGAAAGAAAACCTGCAATAATTCAAGGACCATTAGGCGATCCACCATTTCAAAAACCATCAATTCAGAAAATTATAAAGAATTTCGTTGTGATGAAATATGATAAATTGAGGGAGAACAATGAAGCTGAATTTAAAGTGATAACTGAAGTTGCAAGAACGTTTTTAAACTGTTATAATAATTGGTAAGTTAAATTAAATTAAATCCTGAAGTTTGATGTTCTTATAAAAATAACTTTTAGGGATTTTGAAGCACCAAAAGATTGCAAGGACTCAAGTGCTGAAGAGAACTTTTACAAAATTGATTACACTCGTTGGCTCGTCTTTTGTTACATTCCAGCATTTTGCGATAGCTTAAAATATTACAATTGCACAGAAATCTTTGGAAAACGTTTTCTTTTGTACACTTTTCCATTTTTATCGCAACAGTTTATCTATCACTATGAAACAGAGAAAGAAAGTTTACCAGCTGATAAACAAATGCTTCTTGAACGACTGCCAAAGTTCCTTGAAACGCTGAGAGAAGAAATTCAAAATGAAAAGTCGGAAATCTTTAGTCCCACTTTTAAGCCCACACAATTAGCTCCAACTGCTTATCCACGAACAAAGAGATTGTTAGATAACAATAGTGATGTCAGAATAGCAGCTAAGAGAATGAGACGTGAGGCTGAAGACTTACCCGACGAAGTTGTTTTAAAAGCTTTGAAACGTGTTGGAGATCCAAATTATACAAATCGAACTGACGTTCTCAATCCCGTCGTTCATGCGGCACGTGACGAAGCTGCAAAAGCTGAAGAGAAACGGAAGGAAATTGAATTCCATGTCGTCGGTAATTCATTAACAAATAAAATTTCCCAACTACAAAAGCGATGGTTGTTGGATCTTAAAAATGTTTTCGCTCATCGACTTCCACGAATGCCAAAAGATTACATCGCACAACAAGTGTTTGACGGAAAGCATAAAACTTTAGCTTTGATAAAATATGGACGACCAATTGGTGGCATTTGCTTTAGATGTTTTCCTACGCAAGGATTTATTGAGATTGTCTTCTGTGCTGTTGAAGACAAGGAACAGATCAAAGGCTATGGATCTCATTTAATGAATCATCTTAAAGATTACAGCATCTCCAAAAAGATTCGACACTTTCTCACTTATGCTGATGAGAATGCGATTGAATTTTTCAAAAAACAGGGCTTCTCAAATGATATTAAACTTCCACGAACCGAATATTTCGGATACATTAAAGATTACGAAGGTGCGACGTTGATGCATTGTGAACTTCATCCAGGAATTATTTACACACAATTCAGTAGTGTCGTGAGAAAGCAGAAAGAAATTGTTAAAGAACTTTTCTCACAACGTCAACAAGAAATTCAAAAAGTTCATCCTGGATTGACTTGCTTCAAAGAAGGCTTTCGACGAACAATTCCACTTGAAGCGATTCCAGGATTGCGAGAATTGGGCTGGAAAATGCCATCGAGGAATGCACCGAAACATTTGAGATATTTTGAAGAGAACAGTGATCCGGAAGTGCTTGCTATTCAATTCAATAATATTCTGACACTGATTAAGAATCATAAATGCAGTTGGCCATTCTTGAAACCTGTGGCAGCTTCAGAAGTTCCAGATTATTATGATCACATTAAATATCCGATGGATCTTAAAACGATGGGAGAAAGAATCAAAAATCGGTAATTATGCTTCTTGATTGATTCGTAAATTTTATTAATTTAACTTTTATTTTCTTAATTCAGTTATTATGTCACTCGACATCTCTTCAAAGCTGACATGAATCGAATCTTTACAAATTGTCGTTTGTATAACTCGCCCGACACAGAATACTTTCAATGTGCAGAGAAACTTGAGATTTATTTTAACAATAAGATGAAGGAGCATGGGCTCATGGAATAAATATGGTTAATTAAGATAATATTGTAAGAATTTTAATATTCTCTAAATAAATAAAATTTTATATTTTTTATTTCTTTCAATGATTTGTCTTTGAACTTTTAAGGTTAATTGAAAATATTTCAGCATTTTTGTTTAATTAGATTTGTTACTGGTTTAAAGCAGGTTCAATTTAATGAAAAATAATAAAAATCATATAAAAAATTTTATTAAGCAATTTTATCCCATTTTGTTCTCATTCCCTTCGTCCATTTTTCATGCTGTCCCAAGTCGAGGAGCGATTTTTGTGTTTTTATTTTATTTTGAAACTTCATCATTTTCCATTTCACGTTTAATCGATTTTTGAGTTATTTTTCATATTCATTTGAGTGTGTACAGCTTTTAATTACATTGTTGCGTCATGATATCATCATGAGTTGTTGAATTACGTTTCTGAACATCTGAAAATTGCATAAAATTGTTGAAAAGTGAAGAGTTGAAATGTCGTCGAATGAACCGAGAAATGAATCATCAACAAATGGCAATGGAGCTGGAAGTAGAGCGAGTAACATTCAAAAGATACTTGACAGAAAGCAGAAAATATTCCAATTACCAAGAACATCAAAGATGGTCAAAATAAGCACATATTCGACTTGTGAAGTAAGAAAACTTTTCCTTTTAAGAAAAAAGAAAATCAAATTGATAAGAAAATTTTCCCAAATGAAAAATAGGAAAAAGATTGTCGTTGTGGTGGATTCAAACTAAATGAAGAACAAAGGAAACGAGATGAATCTAATTACAGCCCACAAAATAAAGATCTTTGTAATAATCAAAATTGTGGCCATCCTTTCTGTAAGTTAAATAAATTTTCACAAATGAATATTTTTAATTAAACTGAAATTGTTTTCAGTAAAACATGTTTGTCATTTAAATGATTTAACCGATGAGCAGCTCAATAAACTGCTCAATAATATTGTTGACATGGAAAATCTTTACATTAGCATTTCACGACAAGACGACATGGACATTAAGAAGGTTCGTCGCCGTTCATTTAACTCAAATTATAATTTGCTGATGTCATTAAATATTTCTTCAGGTCTACATTTATTTATCTAAACTCCTTCGTCATTGTATTCTCACAAAGAGTCAAACGACAGTCATCGTTCAAGGGCCAGTTGGAGATCCGCCATTTGAGACTCCCGACATTCAAAAAATTGTCTCAAACTTTGTGTTCTTAAAATATGGACATTTGAGGGAGTCGTCGAAGCTTGACTTTCAAATTTACACTGAGCTAGCTAAAAATCTTCTTCATTGCATTAATTGTTGGGATTTTGAAGCACCGAGAGATCGTAAAGAGCCGATGACAATAGAAGAAGCTTCGTCGTATAAAATCAACTACACAAGATGGCTCATCTTTTGTTGGGTACCTGCATTCTGTTCAAGTCTACGTCAATTCAAAACATCAAACATATTTGGAAGAACTTTTTTAAAAGCAATTTATAATTTTGTGTCTAATTTAATGTTATCGAAATATAACACGGACAAAGACCGTGAGAGACTTCCAGCCGAGAAGCTTATTGTGTTCGAATCGTTACCAAAATTCCTCGATGACTTTCGTGATGAGATTGCAAATGATAATTCAGCTATTTTTGATGTCACTTTCAAACCGATTTTTCCGTCACCGTCCACATCAACTTCAATCAAAAGAGAAGTTGAAATAAACTCAGAACAGAAACCTTGCTTTAAGAGACTTAAGAAGGAAATTGTCAGTGAAGATCTTCCTGACCATACAGTTGCGAAAGTTTTGACGAGAATCAATGAAGACGACTACAAAGCACAAATGGAAGTTCTTAACACTGTCACAATGGCAGCACGTGACGAGGCTGCAAAGGCTGAAGAGAAACGAAATGAAATTTCATTTCACATCATAGGAAATTCTTTAGTGAAGCCAGTATCAAAGCAATCAATGCTATGGTTGCTTGGATTACAAAATGTGTTTGCTCATCAATTGCCAGGGATGCCGAAAGAGTACATCACACAATTGGTGTTCGATGGGAAGCATAAAACTTTAGCATTAGTCAAAGATGGACGACCAATTGGTGGCATTTGTTTCAGATCTTTCCCATCTCAAGGTTTCATTGAAATTGTCTTCTGTGCTGTCACAAGTAATCAACAAGTGAAAGGCTATGGAACACATTTAATGAATCATCTTAAAGATTACAGCAATCAACATGAAATTCGAAATTTTCTCACATTCGCTGATGAATTTGCTATCGGATACTTCAAGAAGCAAGGATTCTCGAAAGATATTAAAATTGCACGAAATATTTATTCGGGCTTCATTAAAGAATATGAAGGAGCAACATTAATGCACTGTGAACTTCATCCAATGATTATTTACACACAATTCAGTAGTGTCATAAGAAAGCAGAAAGAAATTGTAAAAGAATTAATAATTCAACGACAGCAGGAAATGTCAAAAATTCATCCTGGTTTGACTTGCTTCAAAGAAGGCATTCGTACGATTCCAATTGAATCAATCCCAGGATTGCGAGAAGTTGGATGGCGTTCAGTGCCTCGAGCTTTAAGACAGTCACGTTCAATGGAAGAAAATGAAGATTTTGAGAAGCTGGCACTTCATTTCAGTTCAGTTCTTAATGCAGTTCGTCAACATCAAGCAAGTTGGCCTTTTCTACAACCTGTCTCATCAGCTGAAGTTCCAGATTATTATGATCACATCAAATATCCTATGGATCTTAGAACCATGAGCGATAGATTGAAGAATAAGTGAGTAGAAAGTTGTTTAAACAATCCTTGTGACATGTAACAACATGCGACATGCAACATGTTGCGCTAGTCAGTAGCATGTCTCATCAATAGCATTCAAGAGTCATTGATCTTGTTTCTTCTCAATTGTTAGTTAATCTCCAGTGAATGAAACTGTCAAACAATTGAAATTGACAATGCCAAACACAACTTGCATATTGCAACTTCAAACACAATGAAATGTATTTTATTTTCTTATCTTTTATTTCTCAGATATTACGTTACTCGCCGTCTTTTTACTGCTGATATGGCTCGAATTTTTTCGAATTGTCGTGTCTACAACTCCCCTGAAACAGAATATTACAAGTGTGCCAATAAGCTGGAAATTTTCTTTCAGAATAAGATGAGAAAGTTGGGACTCTGGGATGAGAAGTAATTGATTCTTAACATAACTAAAGCTTTAATGTAAGTAGATATTATAATGTAATTAATAACAAAAACAACAGAAAAAAATATGTTAAAATGTTAAGTTGACAGTCCGCTAAATATGTTGCCATTAACTGATAAATTTGTATAATGTTGACTCACGCCATAAACTTTATTAATCATACGACCGACGAGTCCTCTTGAAATGACTTCTTCTTGAATGATTCGTCGACGTGTGCCACCGAGATATTTAACAAGAATTTGATTGACTTCATTCCAATGACTTTGATGTGGAAAGCGACCAGCACCTTCAATTATTCTAATTGATGAATTCTCACAAAACTCCGCACTTTTAATGATTGTTTCGAGTTTATAATTTGGATCGTCATTGCCAGATATAAGAATACATGGACACCTACAAAAAGAAGATAATTAAAATAAATATTGAAAATTGCATTCAAATTCTTACTTAACATTCACTCCAGATTTCACACGATAAAACATCAAATTTCTGAAGTAATTTAATGGCCCAGTCCAATCAAGTGAACTGTTGAAAATATATTTGTATGTTTCAATCTGTTCAAGTCCTTTGACTTTCTCGCCATTTTCAAACTCCATTATGGATGATTCTTTTTTTAAATGTCCGTAAAACTTCTCTATAAATCTAACATTTTTCTTTAATTCATTTTCAGGCAATAAAGGCGTCTGGAAGAAGCGAAAACTTAGTTAAAGATATTAGGAAAATTAAAACGTGAATATAGTTAAAGATATGAAGTGCAAAATGCTTTAAATTATTACTCGACATTTCACACAGAGAAATAAAATTTCCTTTAATTCAAATATTTACTTAAATGTTGTTTCAATTTTTAATTTCATTCAATAAAACTCACTTGAATCATTGTGAACCAACTTCTTGTTGTCAATGCTGTTTTTGATGGATGCCAAAAGAAATTTGGATGACATGCTGATATTGCTATAAATTTGCTTGCATATTCTGGAAATTTTTGAATAAAAATCCAACCAACGACACCACCAATGTCATGACCAATGATTGTCGCAGCTTTGATATTCAAAACGTCTAGAAAGTCTCTGATTTCTGAGCAGATAACATTTGGTCTGTAGTTGTGTCTTAACACGGGCTTATCTGAGTCATTAAATCCTTTAAGATCCAATGCAATCACTCGATGCGATTGTGATAATACAGGAATTTGATAACGCCACCCAAAAAAGCAATCGGGGAAGCCGTGAAGAAGAAGAATCGGATGATCATTTTCATCACCACTTTCAACATAATGAAGTTTAGTTTTCTGTGTGATTTAAAATATTAATCTCTTGATCTCCATAACACTCCAAATTGTGCGTCCTTTAACGACCTCAAAATCCCACACTCACCTTCAATTTTATATATTTATGTTGGCCGAGTTTAGGATCCATCAGCTGTTGTGGACACGCAATTGACTGGTGTTGCTTCGAAACTTTATTTTCTCTTTTTCCTATTATTGATAACGCAGGAAATTTATGTGCGATGTGTTGTCGGGTTGGAGCAAAACGATTATCGAAATATGTCTTCAAGGACAGCAGAGTATTTTTGCAAACAATAAAAAAGTTAAGAACGACACTATGAACATAAATTGCAATGAATTCTTGCCACTTAACGACCTCGAGAATATCTTTTCCATAATTTTTTGGAATAACTTTAGCCATATTTCTCTCACGCGTTTAGTTCCAATGAGGTACGAGTAAGATTTGAGACTGATCGGTTGGGATCAATTGATAAGAAGACTGACAAAACTTTGAGAGCAGAGAGAACGAGAGTAAAATCAAAATTTGATGACGTTGAAGAATGTTTTGACGCTGTTATCTGACATGCTTTTTTTAATCGAAGAGAAAAGAGAAAGTTGCAGATAATAAATCGTAGCGACTTCGTCACGTGAGATGTAAATAAATTTAGTAAAAATTTTGTTTATAGGAATTGGGAAATTGAAAATTTTAAATGATTTTTTTATAATTGATAAGAATAAAGAAATTTTTCTTTCAATGCTTTTCATTAAGTTTGATCAAAAATTCGATGATAAAATTAAAATCTTAAAATACTTTCATCAGAAATAAAATTATAATAAAGTTATTTGAAGCATTAATAAAACTTTTACTTCCTAAGATTATATTATATAAAAAACATATAAATAAATTCTCAACAATTCTGGGTTGAATAAAAAACATATCATTATTATTTTCAAGAGTTTCTTTTTGCGTTGTGACTTTCCCAAGTATCACGTAAATTTAATTTACCCATCTGGATGCGAAAAGAAACTGAGTCTTCTAACAATGGAAATAGTGTTAATTTTTGTAGCAGCAGCAAGGATATGATGTTCAAAGAAACGAGAAGGAACGAGATGGGCGTAGCAACAGAAGGGATTCAATACAACAAGAATAATGGTTTCCCTATGTACAGCTCTTGCGCAATAAATAAAAGAAGAAAAGGAACAAAAATGGTGTCGTGTAATATCCTGTTGTTCATCGTAAAAGTAGCAAATTATGGAAAATATATTTGAAACTGTTTGAACAGCTGAACACCGTCGGAGAAATAAAGACATTTCATAAATTCAATTTAGAAGTAAGCGTCTGTAAAGCTTCTAAACGGAAATTTGATGTGATAAGAATTTTATCATGTTTCGATTCCATAAATTGACTCTTTGCTAACTATCCACGATGCAGGTACTCAATCATGTCAGTCAAATACCAAGTACCATCAAATACTTATTCTTTACAAGTGCCACTTTAACTTTATTCCATTTTTGTGTCACTCTTCCAACTTTCGCATTGTTCATGTCTTTCACCCGTGACAAAATGAAGGTTTATCTAGTTGCAAATTACAGAAAAGTATCCTTGTGAATTTTCGTTGCAAAATTTTCCCTCTGTTATTTCATTTCACATAAAATGGTACGAAAAGAGTCAAGAGGCATTGAGGAAAGTTCTTGACTTGAGAGTTCTCTATCAAAAATGGTCCATGACTCTAATGACAGTCAAAAGTTAATTCTAAATTAATTCTAAAAGATAAATAATTATGAGAGAATGAACCAAGACGTGTGTTTCAATAAACTTTAATAATATTTGCTTAATATGATGTGATACAGTGGAATCTTCCAAGAAACCTTATTGATATTCATAAATAATTCTTATCTTTTTATCGATTCAATATCTGAGTTCACTGTGCTCCAAAACAGACTTCAACTCAATTCATTTTCCTATACTTTCGTCAATAATTACTTTTAATTTTTCTGTCGACTGTATCGGAACATCTTTGAAATTTCGTAATAATTTTATTTGGTAGATATAAATATTCACGAATAAATTTGCTTCAAACGTGGCGACTTGTTGTGTCTTAAAAACATTAATTTCTCGTTGTTCAATCAAAAATTGTTTTAGATTATTATCAAGCATATTTTCTGGAAAGAATTTTAAGTATTTCTTAAAAGAAGATTAAAAATAATTGCTGGAGAAATCATTTCCATCCATGATTACATTTAAGTTTTGAGTTTGGTTCTAAATCATTGATTGTTGAAAACATAAATGTGATTGCAGTATTATCGATTTTCCTTCTGGTTATTCCCATGATCTGTTAATTAAATCAAAAAATATACAAAGCGAAATTGTGAATTCCATAAAATTATCACAAGTAGGTAAAATGTATGACATCACTCATGTTCTTTTCTACTTAGAATTATTTATTTCATTAACTTAGCAAAACCAACCAATGAATGTTATTAAAGCCAAGATTCTATGGTCATTAAGGGTAGGAAAATTTTTTAATGATAATCTTTATTATTGAAAAGAATTTTATATGTTACTGTTTATTTTTTCAGCCTTTCAAGCTTCGAAAATTCAAAAAAATATTTTTCCTGAAATTGTTTACACTCACACTCACAGCATTATGGTTTTACGTTCACTTGAATGATCCGTTGGCTATAGAAAAGCCATTCATTTTCATCGAACCCATCACATCTTACTATCGATTTCAACACAATTCTGGAACAAAAGATTGGCATGATTATTCTACGATAGAGATGGAATCACAACGGATGGGACCAGGTGAACAGGGACAACCAGTCTACGTTACGAAAGACGAAGAAGAGTTGAGTCGTAAAATATTCGAGGAAAATAAGCACAATGGATTGGTCAGTGACAAAATAGCTCGAGATCGTTCAATACCAGACACAAGACCTAACGAGTGTCGCACTCGACAATATTTGAGTCAACTTCCTTCAGTCAGTGTCGTCATTCCTTTCCACAATGAAATTCTTAGCACTCTTACAAGAACAATTCACAGCATCTTTACACGATCACCTCCCGAACTCTTGAAAGAAGTCATTTTAGTGAATGATCACAGTGACAAAGATTATTGCTACGGACCTTTAGAGGAATACATCAAAGATCATTTCGATTCTTCAAAGATTCGAATTCTTGTCATGCCCGTGAGATCAGGATTAATGTGGGCAAGATTGGCTGGTGCTAGATCAGCTACTGGAGATGTTCTTGTCTTCATGGATTGTCATATAGAAGCGAATGTCAATTGGCTTCCACCATTGATTGAACCGATCGCAAAAAATTATCGAACTTGCACTTGTCCCCTTATTGAAGGCATAGATTCTCAAACTTATAAATATAAGAAGAAAGGTAATGGCAATCGTGGAGGTTTCAATTGGCAGCTTCATTTCATGTATTTGCCGTTACGTTCAGATGATCAAAAAACAGCTGACGAACCTTTTGAAACACCAGTACGTAATAAAGCATAAAAAATGAAAGATTTTAAATGTTAAAGTTGTAATTTTAGGTCATGATTGGTTGTGCGTTTGCAATATCAGCAAAATACTTTTGGGAACTTGGGGGCTATGACACTGGTCTGAATATTTGGGGTGGTGAACAGTATGAACTGAGTTTCAAAGTGTGGCTTTGCGGAGGTAAGAAATTTATTCAGTTTATAACAAATAGTATTTGAATGATGATACTTGTAGGAGTTTTATTAAATGTTCCTTGTTCTCGTATTGGTCATTTGTTTCGATCGAGACCATTTACAGAAGTTGACAATATCACAAACTATTACGACAGGTTAAAGTTTCTTGTTATATCAAATAAAATCAATGAATAATCAATAAATTAAATTGCAGAAATTTCAAAAGGGTTGCCGAAGTTTGGATGGATGAATACAAGCACCATATTTACAGTCGTAATCCTGATCGTTGGAATAAAGTAGATTTTGGAGATTTATCAAAAGCATTGGAATTGAAAAGTAAACTCAATTGCAAGCCTTTTAAATACTTTTTAGAAGAAATTGGACCTGATATAGTCGATCGTTACCCACCTGTCGAGCCTCCACCCTTTGCATATGGGAAAATACAAAGCGAAATGGCAAAAGAACTTTGCATAGACACTATGAATGTGCGTGAATCTGAACTCGGATTATATCCTTGTAAACATTCTTCAAAAGTTCATATTACTCAAACATTTCGCTTAAGGAAGCATCGTGATATTTCAATAGAATTCTCAAAGTCAGATTGCATAACTAAGAAAAAAGATAAAATATTAAGCTTTCCATGTTATTTCAATCAGAATAGTCAATATTTTCGTTATAATATTACTTCGAAACAAATAGTTTGTGGTCCAAATCGAAACCGTCAATGTCTAGATATGAACGAAGATTTGAAAACAATTTTTATAGCACAATGTGACAGTGATCAAATATCACAGAGATGGATATGGGATTTCGTCAATGAAACAATGCTTCTAAATTGGGTTGATTATGGCAATCCAATTTCAGACTTGGAAGAACGAAATGAGTTAAAAAACATAATTTAAATAAATTATTTAATCTTGAATAAATCAAAGTTTTCCGCAGTATCAATAAAAAAATGTTTTAACTTTAAAAATGTTAAACTCTGATAAAAATGGCGAATTATACACTTAGATAGTTTAGAATATAAAAATGCTAAAATTATTATTGTACATATTTGCATTTAATTGTAAGTAGGTAATAAAATTTCTGGATATGGAGAATTTGTAATGAGAAGTAATATTTCGATACATTCTGAAGGTTTGCTTTTTAGAATTTTGTGAATGCTATTTTCAATCTGGAAGTATAAACAAACGAAAAAGTTTTTCAGTTTATGTTCATTAAACATTTCAATATTTTAATTTTTACTCATTTTATAACTCATTTTTGAGTTAAAAAACGTTCTTATTTAAACTGAGGAAAAAACATTTCTCGAAGATGTCAACTTTACTAAATGCTTCACGATATTGAATAAAAGAAAACAGAAAGTTCCTTCACCTTTCAGTTTAGGTATAATGTGACAAGATAACGTTCATTTTTAATTCCAAATTAATTACGCACGAAAATTTTTTTCAGCTTATTCAATAAACATTTCAATATTTTTCTTACTGTGATAATATGGATGAAAACTTTTCTTATTTTACAAAGTAAATGTATCATATCATTCATATGTATGTGATTCTTGACTGGGTGGATGGTTCATTTATTCTTAAATGTGTGTCATACTATTTGTCAGTTATTTAAGTTAAATCAATCAAATATAGTTATGTATTGTTATACTAAATAACCTACTATAGCTTTTAGTATTTTTCTGGCACAGCGAACTCTCGATATAACATTTCTCATATTAAAACACTCACTTTTCAATCGTAATTTTGATCGAAATTCCCTCGATGTATGTAATATTTCTCTTGATATAATATCTATCTACTTTTCTGATCCCTTCAGAGTATCTTATATCTTATATATCGAGAGTTCACTGTATATATATATCTAGGTATATAAAATTTCTCTTGATTAATAGCATATGTTTAAACTTTATTATATTCACTGCGTATTGTGTTGATCAAGCTGCTTTTCCGCTATCCACGTTCATTTTGGATTTTATTTCATTGTTTTTTCGACTTCTCAAGAACATTGTTCTGGCTTCACAAAAAGAATAAAAAGAAGAAATTTTTTAAATTCAACTTAATTTATAAAATTCAAAATTAGAAATAAGTACTAAAAATCATAATGGGATTTAAATATACAAAACCAATGCCGTCTTATTATATGAGAAAAGCTAATCGGTGTTTGATTAAGGCAATTGAAAATTTAAATTATTTCTGCGTTCTTAAAAAATAATTTTAGGTTTTTCTCGTTTTACAGCGATTTAAAGTTCATAAATTTAGAAGCATTATACATCTGACAATATTCGTACTCACATCATTATGTTTGTACGTTCGGTTAAATAATGACCCGTTGGCAATAGATAAGCCTTTCGTTTTCATCGAACCCATCACATCTTACTATCGATTTCAACACAGTTCTGGAACAAAAGATTGGCATGATTATTCTACAATAGAGATGGAATCACAACGGATGGGACCAGGTGAACAGGGACAACCAGTCTACGTTACGAAAGACGAAGAAGAGTTGAGTCGTAAAATATTCGAGGAAAATAAGCACAATGGATTGGTCAGTGACAAAATAGCTCGAGATCGTTCAATACCAGACACAAGACCTAACGAGTGTCGCACACGACAATATTTGAGTCAACTTCCTTCTGTCAGTGTCGTCATTCCTTTTCACAATGAAATTCTTAGCACTCTCACAAGAACAATTCACAGCATCTTTACACGATCACCTCCCGAACTCTTGAAAGAAGTCATTTTAGTGAATGATCACAGTGACAAAGATTACTGCTACGGACCTTTAGAGGAATACGTAAGAGATCATTTCGATACTTCAAAGATTCGAATTCTTGTAATGCCCGTGAGATCAGGATTAATGTGGGCAAGATTGGCCGGTGCTAGATCAGCTACTGGAGATGTTCTTGTCTTCATGGATTGTCATACAGAAGCGAATGTCAATTGGCTTCCACCATTGATTGAACCAATCGCAAAAAATTATCGAAGATGTATTTGCCCTTTTGTTGACGTCATCAGTGCAAAAACATATGAATACGTAAAGAAGCCTCAAGGCGATAGGGGAGTTTTCAATTGGCAATTTCACTATAATACTATACCATTACGATCGTACGATCAGGAATCGGAATCTGAACCATTTAAAAACCCTGTAATTTAATATAAAATCACATTAAGATTACATATTATCATTATAGAAATTTCTTCAGGTCATGATGGGTTGCGTATTTGCAATATCAGCGAAGTTCTTCTGGGAGTTGGGTGGTTATGACACTGGTCTTGATATTTGGGGTGGTGAACAGTATGAGTTGAGTTTCAAAGTGTGGCTTTGCGGTGGTCAGTGAAGAAGAAGATGAATAAATTCGTGTCTTGATTAACTCAAATAATTCAATTGCATTTCAGGTGAACAGTATGATGCACCGTGTTCTCGTGTGGGTCATTTATATAGACCACGGCCATTTACTCAAATAGAAAACAAAACTGATTATAACACCAAGTACATTTACATATATATGATATATTTTTGTTTTTAAAACTATTTGTTTTATTTTTTCACTCTTAGAAATCACAAAAGAGTTGCTGAAGTTTGGATGGATGACTACAAGGAGTATGTGTATGCAAGAAATCCTACTCGATGGAACAGTTTGGAAGCTGGAGATGTTTCATATATGTTGGAAGTGAAAAGGAAGTTGAACTGCAAACCTTTCAGTTATTTTCTTGAAGAAGTGGCTCCCGATATGCTTGATCGTTATCCACCGATCGAACCTCCATCTTTTGCGTTTGGTGGTATAAAAAGCATTGCAGAACCAAAGCTTTGCATTGACACGTTGGGGGCAAACAACAAAGAAAGTGTTGGGCTGTATCGTTGTAAGGATTCGTTAGAGAATCCCGGACAACGACAAACCTATCGTCTTAGAAATCATCGAGACATTTCCATTGAACTATCATCTAATAGGTGCTTTGAAGCATCAAAGATTAAAATTATTGTATACTACTGTAAGTTTAATCAGGAAAATCAATATTTTCGCTATGATCTTGACACAAAGCAAATCATCTGTGGACCAAAGCGAGACAATCGATGCGTGGATATGGACCCCAAATTACGAACAGTGTTTGTGTCTCAATGTTATGATGGCAAGCTGACTCAAAAGTGGGAGTGGGGATTTGTAAATGAAACCATGCTTCGAAATTGGCCTCATTACGGAAAACCGATTTCAGATCCAATAGAACTGAGTGAATTTCAATGAACTTTTCTTTCAAATATAAAATTTTATTTGTATGAAGCTTCCAAAAATGTTTTAATCAATAAAAAGAGAATTTCTGAGTACACATTGGATGTGTATAACTTGGCATTAGCGCTTTCAACTTTTAAAAATATGAAAATAAAGTTTCGTAAATTTTAAGATAAGAAACTCATTCAATTTATATCAAACATGATAATTGTTAACTTAATATATTCTGTTTTACAACAACAAAAATTCACAACGAAGTATCCTCATTTGATTTTTTCACTTCAATAAAAATAACTTGAATTATTAAAAAGTTTCTTTTTATTTAAGTAATATCTTCCAAACCTACTACAACTGTTATTTTTTTCTGATATACTAATTAAAAAGTTTCACTTGATTAAACGCATATGTTCAAACATTTTTGTATTCATTGTTTATTGATTTTAATCATTATCATTTTAATTTTTTCCATTGTAACGAAATTCTGATCAAGCTACTTAAATCCAGCCACGTTTATTTTGCATTATCTTTTATTCCTCTGTCGACTGCTCAAGAACAATGTTCTTGCTTCACAAAAAAAATTGAAAATAGAAATTTTAATACTGAACTCAATTTAAAAACAAGTTTCAAAATTAAAAAATCAAAAATAAGTACTGAAATACATGATCGGATTTACATTTACAAAACAAATGCCATCATATTATATAAAAAGGATTAAGCGATGTTTCTTAAAGGTATCTATTAAAAAATTCAAGTTATATTTGCGTTCTAAACGATTTTATGTAGTATGCTTTCATTTTACAGCGAAATAAAATTCGAAGCATTTTACATCTGACAACATTCTTACTTACAACACTATGGTTTTATTTTCAATTAAATAATGACCCGTTGGCTATAGAAAAGCCATTCATTTTCATCGAGCCCATCACATCTTACTATCGATTTCAACACAATTCTGGAACAAAAGATTGGCATGATTATTCTACGATAGAGATGGAATCACAACGGATGGGACCAGGTGAACAGGGACAACCAGTCTACGTTACGAAAGACGAAGAAGAGTTGAGTCGTAAAATATTCGAGGAAAATAAGCACAATGGATTGGTCAGTGACAAAATAGCTCGAGATCGTTCAATACCAGACACAAGACCTAACGAGTGTCGCACACGACAATATTTGAGTCAACTTCCTTCTGTCAGTGTCGTCATTCCTTTCCACAATGAAATTCTTAGCACTCTCACAAGAACAATTCACAGCATCTTTACACGATCACCTCCTGAACTCTTGAAAGAAGTCATTTTAGTGAATGATCACAGTGACAAAGATTATTGCTACGGACCTTTAGAGGAATACATCAAAGATCATTTCGATTCTTCAAAGATTCGAATTCTTGTAATGCCCGTAAGATCGGGATTAATGTGGGCAAGATTGGCTGGGGCTAGATCAGCTACTGGGGATGTTCTTGTCTTCATGGGTTGTCATACAGAAGCGAATGTCAATTGGCTTCCACCATTAATTGAACCGATCGCAAAAAATTATCGGAGATGCGTTTGCCCTTTTGTTGATGGCATCAGTGCAAAAACATATGAATACGTAAAGAAAACTAAAGGCCATCGCGGAGTTTTCAATTGGCAATTTTACTATCAATATTTACCATTACGACCGGGCGATCAGGAATCGGAATCTGAACCATTTAAATCACCGGTAAATTAAAAATATTAGCATTTAGATTTAATAATACTATTGGGTATTCTTCAGGTCATGATTGGTTGTGTATTTGCAATATCAGCGAAGTTCTTCTGGGAGTTGGGTGGTTATGACACTGGTCTTGATATTTGGGGTGGTGAACAGTATGAGTTGAGTTTCAAAGTGTGGCTTTGCGGTGGTCAGTGAAGAAAAAGATGAATAAATTCGTATATTAATCAACTCAAATAATTTCAATGAATTTCAGGTGAACAGTATGATGCACCGTGTTCTCGTGTGGGTCATTTATATAGACCACGGCCATTTACTAAAATAGAAAACAAAACTAATTATTGCGACAAGTACATATATATGAATCATATTTATTTGATTTTAAAGGTCCTTGTTTTACTTTTTATCTCTTAGAAATCACAAAAGAGTTGCTGAAGTTTGGATGGATGACTACAAGGAGTATGTGTATGCAAGAAATCCTACTCGATGGAACAGTTTAGAAGCTGGAGATGTTTCATATATGTTGGAAGTGAAAAGGAAATTGAACTGCAAATCTTTCAGTTATTTTCTTGAAGAAGTGGCTCCCGATATGCTTGATCGTTATCCACCAATTGAACCTCCACCTTTCGCATTTGGTGGTATAAAAAGCATGGCAGAACCAAAGCTTTGCATTGACACGTTGGGGGCCGACAATGAAGAAAGTGTTGGGCTGTATTATTGTAAAGGTTCATTGGAGAATCCCGGATATCGACAAACCTTTCGTCTTAGAAAGCATCGAGACATCTCTATTGAATCAACATCTAATAGTTGCCTTGATGTAGCAAAAAATAAAATTGCAATATTTGACTGTAAGTTTAAACAAGAAAATCAATATTTTCGCTATGATCTTGACACAAAGCAAATCATCTGTGGACCAAAGCGAGACAATCAATGCATGGATACGGACCCCAAATTACGAACAGTGTTTGTGTCTCAATGTTATGATGGCAAGCTGACTCAAAAGTGGGAGTGGGGATTTGTAAATGAAACCATGCTTCGAGATTGGCCTAATTATGGAAAACCTATTTTAGATCCATTAGAACTGAGTGAATTTCAATGAACTTTTATTCTCAAATATAAAATTTAATTTGTATGAAATTTCCAGAAATGTTTTAATCAATGAAAAGAAAATATCTGAGTACACATTTCATGTTTATAAGTTGGCATTAGCGTTTTCAACTTTTAAAAATTTGAAAATAAAGTTTAGTAAATTTTATCCTTTCTTATTTTTTATAATATTTTCACTTAAAATGAATCAAAGTACCTAATTTCAAGAAACAAATTAAGTTTAACTGAACAAGAACTTTGAAAATATGTTAAGTAAATTTTTCCTTATCTTCGCTTATTGCAATATGATGAAATATTTTAATCACGATTTTGAATTCATAAAAACTAAATCGTGTTTAGTTAAGCCAATTCTCATATTAGCCCTTCTTTTCTCTTTGAATTTTTGCCACGATAACATGTCACTGAAGCGATATTTAGTTAAATCAAATTTCATTTTCCGACAGGTAAACATTTTACATTTTATATTTAATTCAAACTCTATCATTGCAAATTTTCTTTCATTTGAAGTCATTAAAAAATAGGAGAAGAAGCTTCACTTTCTTTTTTTGCCTGTTCTCTGCAGTCGTTATTACAATTTATGTGTTGATTCGGTTAAATAATGACCCGATGGCTATAGAAAAGCCATTCATTTTCATCGAGCCCATCACATCTTACTATCGATTTCAACACAATTCGGAAACAAAAGATTGGCATGATTATTCTACGATAGAGATGGAATCACAACGGATGGGACCAGGTGAACAGGGACAACCAGTCTACGTTACAAAAGACGAAGAAGAGTTGAGTCGTAAAATATTCGAGGAAAATAAACACAATGGATTGGTCAGTGACAAAATAGCTCGAGATCGTTCAATACCAGACACAAGACCTAACGAGTGTCGCACACGACAATATTTGAGTCAACTTCCTTCAGTCAGTGTCGTCATTCCTTTCCACAATGAAATCCTTAGCACTCTTACAAGAACAATTCACAGCATCTTTACACGATCACCTCCTGAACTATTGAAAGAAGTCATTTTAGTGAATGATCACAGTGACAAAGATTACTGCTACAAACCTTTAGAGGAATACGTAAGAGATCATTTCGATATTTCAAAGATTCGAATTCTTGTAATGCCCGTGAGATCAGGATTAATGTGGGCAAGATTGGCTGGTGCTAGATCAGCTACTGGAGATGTTCTTGTCTTCATGGATTGTCATACAGAAGCGAATGTCAATTGGCTTCCACCATTGATTGAACCAATCGCAAAAAATTATCGGAGATGCGTTTGTCCTTACATTGACGTCATCAGTGCACAAACTTACGAATACAGAAAATCGGGAGGTACTCGCGGAGTTTTCAGTTGGCAATTTCACTATCAATTCTTACCATTACGACCGGGTGATCAGGAATCGGAATCTGAACCATTTAAATCACCGGTAAACTAAGAATATTAGCATCAAGTTTTAATATCACTTTTGAGTTTTCTTCAGGTCATGATGGGTTGCGTATTTGCAATATCAGCGAAGTTCTTCTGGGAGTTGGGTGGTTATGACACTGGTCTTGATATTTGGGGTGGTGAACAGTATGAGTTGAGTTTCAAAGTGTGGCTTTGCGGTGGTCAGTGAAGAAGAAGATGAATAAATTCGTGTCTTGATTAACTCAAATAATTCAATTGCATTTCAGGTGAACAGTATGATGCACCGTGTTCTCGTGTGGGTCATTTATATAGACCACGGCCATTTACTAAAATAGAAAACAAAACTGATTATTACAGCAAGTAATTATAACCAAAATCATTAATTTTTATTTGAGGTTTTTAATTATTTTCACTGTCAGAAACTATAAAAGAGTTGCTGAAGTTTGGATGGATGACTACAAGGAGTATGTGTATGCAAGAAATCCTACTCGATGGAACAGTTTGGAAGCTGGAGATGTTTCATATATGTTGGAAGTGAAAAGGAAGTTGAACTGCAAACCTTTCAGTTATTTTCTTGAAGAAGTGGCTCCCGATATGCTTGATCGTTATCCACCAATTGAACCTCCACCTTTTGCGTTTGGTGGTATAAAAAGCATGGCAGAACCAAAGCTTTGCATTGATACTTTAGGCGCAGATAAGGAAGAAAGTGTTGGGCTGTATCCTTGTAAAGATTCATTGGAGAATCCCGGATATCGACAAACCTTTCGTCTTAGAATGCATCGAGACATTTCCATTGAAGGGTCGGGATCGGAGTGTCTCGATGTATCAAAGAATCAAATTTTAATATATCACTGTAAGTTTATTCAAGAAAATCAATATTTTCGCTATGATCTTGACACAAAGCAAATCATCTGTGGACCAAAGCGAGACAATCGATGCGTGGATATGGACCCCAAAATAAGAACAGTGTTTGTGTCTCAGTGTTATGATGGCAAGCTGACTCAAAAGTGGGAGTGGGGATTTGTTAATGAAACCATGCTTCGAGATTGGCCTAATTATGGAAAACCTATTTTAGATCCATTAGAACTGAGTGAATTTCAATAATTTCATTTTCGGAATGTAGAATAAAAGAATTTCTAAAAATTTCGTAAACATATTTTAATTGCAAAATTATGTTATATAAAGAAGTTCTCTGGTACACTATGAGAAAGAAGAATCAAAATATTCTCCCAGCAGGATGAAACTTTTAAAAGGAAAATTCAATGGCAACATTCTAATCGTCGTTGGGTTGCGTAACGATGATGAAATTGACAATATTCTTTAATTCAATTTTCCAGTCATCATCGTCGTCATCAAATCAAAATGTTCACAATGTGACCATAATCGACTTCTATAATACACTTATCTTCATGAAAATGAAATATTTGTTCAGTGTAAGCGACCCTCCTTTCATTCACTCGGAGTCATGTGCGATAATTTTCATAACAATTTTGACTTCACCCTACATCTGAATAAGTATTTTACTCATTTCTGAGTACTATGTTGCCGCCCGTTCCAGGATATTCATCCAACATTACCTCGTATTTATTTTCTCAAAACCTTCCATGTATGAATTGAAAGCGATTCCGCCATTGTTGTTTGTTACGACGTAAAATTTTGTAATTTACCATATGATGTTATTTTTTAGCATGACGACGTTCATCATGGGGTTCCTTGTGACAATTTTCCCCTAATGAATGGAATGGAGGGATTGAAAATGAAATTGAAAATATTGTAAAAATGTAACTTTTGTCACAGTTACATCATTAGAAAAATCATTATAAGGTGGAAAATATTGATCCGGGAATAGATTAAAGTATTTCTATCGAGATATTTGATGAATTTTTATTAAATATTTATGACATTGAAATCTCATTTTCAATTAGAAAGTTTGTTCAAGCCACATATTAATGAAAATCACAAATACAATTTGAATACTTTAATGATTTATTTTTGTCACTTAATTTTAACAGTTTTCTCAAGGACAATAAATCAAGCTGCGAAAATAATTTAATGATATTCAAATTTCTAATTTTGAAGTATTTATTATGCTTTGTCATGTTCTGTAATTCAATGGGTTGAGAATCGAGTCAATTATGCAACCAAATTTTAATTTAATTTTGTTTTCTCACCGAATCTTAGTTCAGAATGAGAAATTACATAGTAGGAATGTTTAGCATTGAAAAAGATCTCAAGATATCAATAAAGTTTGACAAACAAGTTTGACAAATGATATTTAATGTAAAGATACTCACATTTTAATATGTCATTCAACTCTTAAAGAAAAAGTTGCCATTGTGGCAAATTGTGATTCCTCCATTAGATTTCTTTCTCCTTTAATCTTGATCGAAAGCATTGAATCATTCACACGTTACAACAAAGTAAAACTTTTTGTTGGATATTTCCCAAATTGAAAACATAATTGCAAAGAATAAAAGAAAGAAATATTGAAAGGTGATGAAGTGAAGTTTCTTTTTTGTAACTTGATTATTTTCTTATTAAAATTCATCACACCACATTTCTGGTTTTATTGTTGTCACATTTCTTTTAATAAAATTTTCTTAAGAATTGTAATTCTGTAAGAATGAAAAAAGAAAGTTCCTGGATCATGTTACAGGATTGTTTAAACAAGATCTTGAAGCTGTTTTTGTGTTCATGTCACTTTATGGTTTGAAACTTTCTGGTTTTGGATTTGGAAAGAAGAAAAAAAATGGAGGAGGTGATCCAATAGATTAAACAGATATCGATATATTAATAACATTCCTAGATATTTATGAATGAAATTAATATTTCTTCAAACCTGACAACTCAACAGATATTTTGCTGAGAAAACCAAACATTTTCATCATTAAGTGAAAACTTTTGAAATGATTTTGGTTAAGCATTTGAAATCTCTTTTAAATTTTCAGACATAAATTTGTTTATATAAAAATAAGTGCTCCGATAGACTTCTCGTAAATTAAATTTATTTTTGTCTCCTTCAACATCTTTTTCATTACTCTGATGAAATTTGAAGAATGAAAGAAACATAGAAATGAAAGGCGAAAATGTTACCGAAATCATTTTCGTAACTGAGAGAAATACTGAATGAAGGAAGGATATGGCTGTGTGATGAATACCAAAGAAAGAATTGAAAGGATGATGATAATGATAAGTACTGATGGTGAAAAGAAAGTTGAAGGTACAGTAAAAAATTGAATTTGGAAATGGATTTTCAAAATGGAGACAAATTTGATTAAATTCTTTCTTTCTGGTTTCGTTGCTATTTATTTAAAGAAGAAAATTGAGATTTTGAAGATTCTTTAGAACATGTTCAATAAGGTGTAATGTTTTCAATCATTTCCTTGAAAATTTCCATCGACCAGAAAAAGGTGCTGTAAATGTGGTTTCTTTCGTTTTTTACATCCAAACATGGTTCGCAATTTTCATTTCTCATTCTTCCAATATTTTCAACATAATTCAATAAGTTTTGAATTTTATTCGTAGTTGTAGCCATAAGTGGAAACGCAGGTTCTTTTTTTATGAAAGAATTGTTTGAAGTAATATCATTATATTTTACTTCTCTTAATTGATCTCTAAGCGCTTGTTTCTCCTCATCTGTTTGAGCTAATCCTATCCGTACTGTAATAGCCAAAGCGTTCGCATAAATCTGATATCCCATTAAGTCTCTGAAGAGTGCAGCCAAATCATTTATATCTTGATTGATTGCAGCATTTTCGATATCAAATATGTCTCTAAATCCAACAGTTTCATCACATTGCTCAATGCAACCATCTGGAAGAATGAACGAAGGAAATTCTTGTAAGTTTCCTTTGGAAAATAATTGAAAAAGAAAAATTGTACAAAATATTTTGTTCATCTTTTTTCTTCTGATAACTTAACAAAATTAATAAAAATGTTTTAATGAACACTAATTTAAATATATTGATAAGGTGTTGTATTTATAGTTAGTATTTGAAAGTGGAAATGAAAAAATAGTTACACCAAAAAAACCTGACGGAAAATACGTGACAATTAGAAATTTCCGCAAGTAATAATAAAATAAATTCAAAGTTTGATTGTAATGACATCAAAAGTGAAAGAACAAGTCATAAAGGCTACCTAGGAAAAATGTTACCAAATCATTAAAACTTACACCTAGCTTTGCATGAGTTGATTGACAATGATGTGTATCATCATGATACAAACTATCTTGACAGCAAAAGGACATCACAGATAATGTTAATTCTTTGACAGAGAAAAATTATTTCGATGTCTTATTTAATCTCTTCAATAGTTCTTTTATTGGTAGATAATTCTCATAATTTAAGAAGATTTTGTGAAATATATTTGTAACATAAATGAGAGGTGTCAATTAAAAGAAGATTTTGTTTTTATCAAAAATGCTTATAAAGGATTTATCGAATCCTTTTCTCAAACAAATATATGACTAAGAAGATTAAAGCATATAAAAAATACTCTCAAACATAAAAACATAGAGAATTGGTTTCATTGTTTCTACGTTTTCTGCGCTGACTCAGTCTTTGCTTCGTCATTTTCAATAATAACTCAATTATAATGTAGTGTGGAATTTCATCACAGGCATGGTTACGGAAGGAGATAATTTCGGGTTTTTTCTTTTTCTGTTAGGTTCACTTTATTTCCTTAAATATTTGTTTACACAATGCAATCATAATTACACATCTCGAGACAGAAGTCAAATGAAAGAAAAAATAAGTTGCAGGGACCAGAAACAGATTGTAAAATTAACTGGTCAATTATCTCACAACTTTATCATCAAATCTTCTATGACATGAATGAAATTTCTTTCAAAATTTGATCAGGTTTTGAGCTATTTTAGATGATCATGAGATTTCTTCATAGTCACTTCACAATGAAGGAAAAAAGTGGTAGGTAAGTTCAAATATTATTTTTGCAGTCAGAAGCCATCGAAATAATTGATTGGGATTTTTGAAGTGTGTCTAGTGAACAGATAGTCGCGCCAAGTGTTGTTTAGGGAGGCCAAATTGCTTCTGGATAATCATCTCAGCCATCAATAAAAATGTTTGGTTTGTATAGCGTTTACATAGTTTTGAAAACGTATACGCAAACAATAATTTCAACTAATTTTGTTGATCTCTGTTTAGAAGATAAGCCTTCAAACTTTCAATATGCACTTGAGACGTCATCTTGAGCGTCAATCAACACTGAAATATTGGAAACGAAATATTTCATTCTTTAATTTCTTATAATTATGAATTTGGTTTAGTGCTAGGGATCAATGTAGGAGGAAAGCATGTTAAACTTTCTGATCAATTAGTTTTGCTTTTTTTTTTATTTCTGAGTGGTTATGGAAATTTTATTGAGACTTTCAACTAAATTTAAAATCTGATTAACTTTTTTTACGTTAGACAATTCTTGAAAAGAAGTATTGAAATTAAATTAACACATTTATTTTATTTAAGTAAATTAGGTATTTGAGGAATCTTCTTGATTATGCAGAATTTTCATACATTTCAAGTAAATTCAAGTTTACTTATAGAAATCTTTACTCTAACACTACCTTAATCCAATCATTGAAAGACAATCTAGTACGACATAAGTGGTAACCACTTTGTATGGAAGGTCAAATCCACGCAAGTCGATTTCCGGGCAGTCCGACGTCAATACCTCACTCCACAACACTGAGTACTAGACTTGTTATAATTTGTAATAGAATATTATCTAATTTAAATGGGTTAAATGTTCAAGAATACAGCGTAATCATTCTAATGCGCTTGAAACATGAATTAAATTTTAGAAATTAAAATTCTTCTTCTACAAAATAATTTTAAAAAGATTTTCTGTAGTCAACAACATTCAGTAAGTATGCGTGGTTTTATTACCAAATTTAGAAACAACTGAATTTTTACTAATTTAAATATTTTGCGAAATTATTCAATTTGAAATATTTTAAATATTTATGTCATGGAATTTAACAACAGTCTTGAATTAAGTGTTCGAACAGAAAATGAATAGTTAATACATTAATAAGAAAACACTTATAAAAATTCTCACTCCAATAGCCCTTAGTCAATCGTGTGATCATCACTTGAGATGATATAACTTACAATTTAGCATTTTTAACAATGATCGATCATGTGGTTTGCGGAAATATGAAGAATTGGTGTGGGGGAAAAGAATGAGTCATTGAACTGTAATGTCTCGTGGAGATATTCACTGATCACACGTTGATGTTTGATTTTCTTAAATTGTTTCATCCGACTCTTCGACCTTTAAGCAAATCGAAAATCGTAAAACAAAATAAAAAAGAAGAAATTATGGAATATTGATTCATTCATCATAATTAATTGTGCCATCAGCAGAACAAACGAAACCGACAAGAATGCAAAAGAATCCAAAACCAAACGTCATTGCATAACTCATAATAATGTTGTAACTACTTTAAAGACGAACCTCATAAAAGTCGGGCATAAAACCATTAATTATTTGTTATTTTTCTTAAATGTTGCAAAATTTTATTCGCACTTTGTCCAGTTCTTACCATGCCGAGAGTCCAATGATAAAAGAGAAGAAGATAAAAATCATTTCGAGTCACATTACACCGCCGCTCTAATGCATTACACACTACAACCTTCAATTATGAACAGAAATGATAATTGTCGGTTATAAAACATACATAAACATTGCACAATTCGCTGGCGTAAAAATGAATAATTTGCAAAAGAAAAACGCGAATTTGTGCGGTGTCTGAAGCACGTATTCGAGTTCGATCGATTATTCAGAAAGAAGCTTTTAGGGATTGAAACTAGCAATTTGGGCTACGTTAATTAATGAGTGGCTAAGATTTAGTTCTTGAGATTATCAGTCTTCATAATGACTTCATTTGTTAGCTCTTCATATTTTACAAATCTGTTCAATTTGCAACAATTTTGTTACTGAAAATATTTCATTCCTCCTTATTCTCGATTTGCATTCAAGTGAAGAAAAATACAACATAAAACAAAGTATTAATTGCTATGACAAGCAGCCTTCGACATATATAAATTTAATACTAAAGAGAAGGTGTTAAGAATGTTTAAAATGTTAATGATTTAATTGCTCCTATTTACGTTCACCCTTAGGGTGTTCATAAACGTTAATTTCAAAAATGTAAACATAACTCAAAGCTATTGCACAACATTACAGCATAAAGAACAATTGCACGATCATCAAATGAGAAATTAAGTCATATATCAATGTCCACTCTTTGTATGATTTCTTCTCACCCTTTGGCGTAATTTGGAAGTTATGGAAGAACTTTAACTTAACAATTCTCTTTCTTTGAAAGTAATTTTGCAATGTTGCTTTCTTTAACGTTGATTTGTCATGGAATATTCTGCAACTTAAACTGGGAATGATATTCATATAAACCTTTAAATAATCGAATAGAAATTTAAATGTCTTCTAACATATTTTTCCAGTGATTCAACAAAGAAATCTGTTAATTAAAACTTTCATATCTGTAAGATTTATTGTTGAAGAATGCAAGCAGAGCAGGAGATCTCTGAACTTTCAAGAACATAATATCTGGAAAAATATGCTTTTAAAAACTCATTTCGTACATTATTTTATGCTTTTATGCTACTATTCATCATTGACTGTCATACGGATTCCATTCGCTTCTAGAGTCCACTTTGTTGTGTATGAAGATGTTCATCGTCCGAAAATTTTCATCATTCTTAAAGTGTTATTGTTGCACAAAAGAATTCCGAGAGAATAACACGAAGTGCAGCGCCGTTCAAGATGCTTGTTGTAAGAACAACGGTCTTTGAGTGACTGACGGCGATTGTGATTGATGATCCATTTTTTAAACTTTGACTTGTGGCACGTCCAAGATATTGGATCTTGGTAATTTTAATCAATCGTCAGACAGTTCTTTATTGTCGAAGGCAATATCAGAGAAATTCCTGAGAAAGATTTTTCAGGAGATTAATAGTTTGAAGCTAATTAAATTCTTGAAGCAACATCAAGTGATGAGTTTTAAATTTAGCATGGAAGTTTGTGTCAATGGCGACACCTGAAAAGCCTTGATGAGCTGTTGAAGAAACAAAACCACAACGTAATTGATTGTTAATGATCAAATTTGTTTCATAAGAAAACAACAAAAAAATAATGAAATGATGAATTTAGGGCTGCAACAAGAAAATGATTCAAAGTGTCTTCGTTTTTTATTGTTCATATTTCGTTTCCGTTTTACATTGAAGCTAATGGCTTGCTTCTCATTAATTACAAGTTTAATTTTCTTCTCTGGCCATTGAAATTTTGTTTGCTTAATCAACACAAGCAATTCTACCTGAGTTGGCATTTTTAGTTCATTCATCACCTCAATCAGTTGTCATCTGGTAACATAATGAACTCAACATAAACATAAACAAATATATTAATGACATAAACACGATAATATTCACGATTAAAAGTGCAGCAAGTTGTTTTGAGACGACGCCATCAGTAAAGCGCAATAGAAGCATTTCGTTGTTCAATTTATATGGCATTAACGTTCACTCAAGTATCGCGACAACAAAAGACGAAGAAGGAAATTCATGTTGGTTAACTAGAATGATAATGCAAAAATAAGTTGAGTTTATGTTGTTTTATTAACAATCCTAAACCAATGAATGTAACATTTCAAGTGTCTGAATCAGTTGATCGATCAAGCGCATTTTTCTTTCTTATTGTGGGAACATAAAGAACAGCTTCTGTTCGAGCCCAAAAACTTCCTGATTAACCTTCAAGGAATTGTGACAGTTGACAAACTGCTTCATAGAACCAAGATCCATAAACTTCCCATAGAATCAGCATCAACAATATAAATCGTATCACATTTCACACGGCGACGACGACGTTTAAATACCACAAAAGTCCACCAGATATATTTCAAACATAAAGTATAGATGAGAAGCATTAGTTTAGTAAATATTTAATTCATTATTAATTTCAATTTATTCAACAAAAGATTTTTACAACCAAAAATCGTGACGAAATAAAACGAGTGAAAATTAAATTATAGAATTAAAAAAAAAACATTCAAAGGGGAAAAAAATAATCACAACAAGACGTTAATTGAATAAGCAGGATTTTAATTGTTAGTTGTTCTATTAATGAGGGTTTCTGATTGTATAATATAGCTGATAATTGTTGGCAATTGGATTTCTTGTAATGCCACGACGAGTTATTAATTTCGCGCGGATCAAATGAAAACAAAAAGAGTGAAATGAAGCTTAACACTGGATATTGTAATATGATATGTTAAGGATTTCTCGCCAAGTTTAGTAACACATCGATGAACAGTCTGTTGAGTAAAATTCAAATTAATTCATAATTTGACAGAATCTATCAACAAATCTAATATAAATTTCAAGATCATCATGCTGACAAATAGGAAAATGACGCCAAGCTTCCGACTTTTTTTTATTATTCTTTAACCCAAGTCCATATTATTTCCACATCCTTGAATTTCGATCGAAGCAAAAAAGTAGAAATCCTTGATGTTAATCAATCTTCAGCTCGCTTCACATTTTTCTCACTGTAAGAAATCACTTTAGGGTGTATGGCAATTGAAGTGGCGCACCACTCATCGAAGATTGATTGGAGAAATATCTTTCGATACTTTTCACCATGAGCAACGATGCAGAATGCGATTCAACCATTGATCCGAAGTGGGCTTGATGCGAATGAAGTTAAAGAAGAAGAAAGAAAAACTGTGAAAACTATGATAGCAAATGGCAGCGGTAACAATATGAAACTAGTTTTCTCTCCGCATTCCAAATAGCATTTGATTTAATCCACATAAACGTATTATTGTCGTTGATTCCCTATTTACTGATTCCAGCAAAACTAATCACCATTTCTCTCATTCTACACTTCCGTTGACAATGGTAACATAGAAAATCAGTATACAGTCGATTTATCGGATATTGTGCTGTGAATGGTGCAAAGCGTCATTGTTGTTGTTGATGTTACAAATCTCTTTAATAGTTTTTCCTTTTCTTTTTTTTCCAATTGTAATAAACTCAATATGGTCGTTGTGATTGACGAGACGATATTTATTCTGTTGGGCACGTTTAATTTGCTTTGTAAGTGCCCTAGAGTTTATCATCTTCTACCTAGTTGAGAACTTTTTTAAAGAATGTTCGCTCGAATTGGTTTACTGTTGCAATATATCTAAATAAATTTTTTTAGATGTCGCTTGTGAGTTGAAATGATGTATTAAAATGAAGTTTCAAGCAAGATACATTAGTGACAGAATAAAAGTTACACTTCATCAGATAACTTAGCAAATATTATCTCACAATCATCAAATGAATGTCAATGGTCACCTGGTGGTATGTTTGGATAAATGTATTTAAGCATTGTATGAATAGAAATTCTTCGCTTGAGGCGGATATGTTACTTGCTTACCCAAAAATAAGCGATAATGCGTATAATATTCCATTCATTCATTCAACACTCGTCTCTAAGACTCCTTAAAAAGATTTCAGTTTCTTGTAAAAGTTATTTTTTCTTAAGAAAACGAAGGCAAGCACAAAGGAGAGACTGGTGACATTGCCGATCATTAATCCCCCACCGGATAATCCCTTAAATAGTAAAAATAAATAGCCCACATTTTTGAGGGCTTTGTGAGTGTGAATACGACTTTGTTCTGCTTTCCAGGCATCAGCACATGCACAAAAGGAAAGAGAGAAGAATCATAAAGTTGTCGAACGATTATTCTCCCTGACATGGAACGTTTTTAATATGTTTATAAATAAATCATTATGAAGAGTGTTTTGAGTTTAGAGGCTTCGCTTTTCTTATTTTTATGGTGATGAAAAAGTGGCACGTTAAGTATCGTTACTTCTCTTTTTATTATACTTTTGGGTGTCGATGATCATGAATGTATTGCAAATAAGTTTCGCTTTCCGATTGTTTACAGTTACATGGATCGCTTTGACGGATATTTAATTTAGCATCACATGAGATCGCTTCGTTTATCTGAAACCTCCATTTCAATAACTTCCTACACGATGTTATTCACAACGATTGGTTCCATCGCGTTCTTAATTGAACTCAATTTAGTTGAGCTTTGATTAAATCATTTTTTCTCTCATCCCGCTTCACTCTGTTCATTTTGCGACGTCAACGATCAACTTTTGTTGATTAATTTGCCCTTTTTTTCTTGTATTTACGATGCATGATGATGTCGATGATTCTTCCCTCAATTACACATCTACTTGTCATGTCTTGTGAAATTTGATATTTCAAATCTTCAAGTTTCGTAATCGTTTTTGTTAATTAATTTAGATTTTTATTAGTTTTAATGAGTCTAGTAATTTGTTGGCATTTGAAATCATCACAAATTGATTCTGAGAATTTCTTGTTGAACAATATATTTGTTGGTTCAATGGATGAGCTGGTTTTTCCTGTTTCTTAAGTTTCAAAATATTTTCTTGGGATTTTTATCGAAACTGAAGCAATAATGCTTATGGTGTGATGTTTATTATTCTTTCTATTTCAAGAAAAAAGCAGATTATTATTTTTTACAATCCTTTTTATTCCAATAAAAGAAAGGAACATCAGACTGGGTTAAAAAAATAATCTTTTGTCGCTCAAGTTTGTCAATGAAACTTTTTATTACAACATCACCGCAACAATATTAGCCATGCTCAATTAAATTAAGAAGTTTCAATGCTCACAAACAGATTTACATGCTTAAAATTCAATGTTCATTTATCAGAAATCATGCAAACAATGAAACGTGTTAACTCAAGTAATCATTTATCATCATACGGGGTGAATAATGACATCGAGTCAGAGAACATAAACCTCAAGAAATTATGACGCAAAACAAATGTGCAAATCTATTTTCTCCCTTTCTTTCCATTGTTTAAACATCACTAATAAAAACAATAAACTGAAATTCTCTCGAGTTGAAGCACGGATTGTTTGATTCTACAGGATATTTGTCTATCGTGAACTCTTGCGCAATTCAAGCGACGCATATCAACTTGTACGAGAATATTTTTGCTATTTCAAAAAAAAAACTTCAAAAGTAAACACGAATTAGTACTAAAACATGACTCGATATCTAACTGTGAAAAGCGAAGAGCTAAATAAAACATCTCGTCGATGAAGATGCTGTTGAAATCAAATAAAAATGTAAATTTTATAGCTTCATTCAGGTCTTATCTGTGGTGACAGATTTACTGCCGAAAACAAGGCAAGTAAATAAACGCACAATTACGTAATCAATGGGAAGGAAAATGTCTCTTTAGAATTTTAAATATTTATGAGGATGAACGAAATTATAAAGTTTGAGCTTTTGTTTATTAGCTTATGGAAATTTAGAATTAATTATATAACAAGAAAAGATGATTAAGAGAAGGAAAAATCTTTTTGAAGTTTGCCGAGCAAACAATGATATCGCCTCTTCATTCATTCTCCATGAAAGCTCAATATTTGACCTTTAGCTTTAATCGATGGACAGAATATCACCGCCCACTTCACATTTTTATTATCTAGTTTAATTAGCGGCACTAATTTGTCGCGTTCATTGTATTTGTATAAATAAATATCTAGCACAAGTGTGGTGCGATACATTGATTATAAGTAAACATGCAATCTTTACATTTAAATGAAATCAATCACTTTATTTCCGATTTTGAAGGTAGAATTAATCTATTCACTGTTGATAAGAAAAAAAAAAGTAGACACAACTAGTGAAACAGCCAAAAACTGCTAAAATGTTGATGAATCGTTTGTAATTTATTTCTCCTATTGTACCGTTAATAGTTCATTTCTGAATCATAAATTGGATTTTTCTCTTTCTTTTCGCTTCTTCTTCATCTGGTCTCATTTAATCAAATTTACCGGTGATAATTTTCCCATAATGCTTGCGCTCTTTTACACTCACTCACTTTGGATTTGAAGAGTGAAATTTCCAACCGCTTCACGGCGCCATCGAAACGAACGAGTATAACAGAAATTCAAATTACATTTCACGAGAATCATGATTTGATGGAATCATTTGCGTTATGAGCAGTAACAAGAATCTTGTTTTTATTATTCTTCTTCTTTTTCATTCGCTTGCACAGTAAGAAAAATTCCTTAACATCACCAGAAAGAACTAAAAATCGAACATGAAAATTTTAACGCCATTGACGATGTCAGTACGTGGCTTTGCCTCATCCATACAAATGTCTCAATGTGTCTACTGCTGTAGAAAAAACAGTTTTCAAAATAATTGATCATTTTGTCAAAAAAAGTTGAGAACAGAAATTGAGACTTGAACCAGTTATGGATGATGGAGAGAAATGAAAATGGAAATCAATAATCAAACGACTTCATCTCGTCTTCACATCATCATCATAATTTACAATTGTTTCACGTTTATTCTTTTCTTTCTTTTTTCGCGTATTATTTTCTTCTGTTTATTTATTTTGATTCTGAACAAAAGACTCGGAAAGCAACGTGAAATTTAAAAGAAAAGTTGAGATGTTAATGATGATGTCAGCAGAATTGGGTGAATTGAGATACAACATCAACGATAGTTTCGATTCTCGACGATTGTTATTGAATTGTAATGTTTTTAAATATTTAATTTCAGTTCAACTGATGGTTATCGATGAAGTTTCGTTCTTTCCTATTCTGGTTGTGTCAGAAGTTTCACTTTGCCAGTGTCGACTCAGGATGACTAGTTGGCATGATTTTTAAATACTACAAAGTCTGCTTCTTACCTGCTGTCTTATTTGTTTTTAAAAGTGATAGCTTTTCTCATTCTAGAACTAGATCATTAAATATTGTTTGACAGCAGCCAATGATAGCTTTCTTTTCATTTTTAAATTGAGATGTCTGAGTGGTTAAAAACAAACCATAATTGACTTCAGACATTTTCGAGATTTCTGAAAGAAGGAAAAAGGTTTTTTATTTTTGCATTTTGCCATTTCTGCTGATTTATCTTCACTCTTCATCATGAAACTTTCAATCTTCAGTCATTTTTAGGTTTCATCATGTCGCCAGCTGCAAGGACGTAAATTCAAAAAATATTTTTATGCTATTATCGCCCTTTTATTTAAACATATCACAGATCCTGGTGGTTTTAAATCTGATGAATGAAATGACACATTTTGTGTTTGTGATAAACTTCACCATTGACGTCTGCAAAGGATTTTGAGTTCGATATGCTAAGACAAAGATATGCTGCATCATAAGGGTTCGCCTGTTATTGCAGCTCAAATGCAAAAATAAAAAATAAAAAATATGAGAATGTGAGGAAAGCAAAAATATCTGCTTTTGTGAAAATTTAATTCTCTACTAGGTGACAGAGAATAAAAATAATACGAGCAAGCATAAAAACCTTGCATAAATCAATATTTTCAACCCTCGTTATAGAAAAACGATCCACGGCACATGTATCAATGTTCTAGAGAGGAGAAAAAAAATGAAACAGATTGCTTTTCACCGTCGTCTTGTTACATTTCGATTGGCTTAGAGTAGGAAGAAAATAATTCTTCAATTTCTTTCTCTTTTCTTCACGAGACACGCCTCATTTGATTGACACTTTTCCTTTACTCGTTCGAAATTATCGCAAATTGCGAGTGTTACGAATTCAAATAAAAAAAATTGTTTTTGTCTTTAAATAATTTGCTTAAAATTCTTTTATCTTTCTTTCAATTTTTATTTCATGTTTATTAAATATAACATAATGTTTTTCTTTTTGTTTGTTTTGTAATATTTCTTTCCATCGTTTAAATTGCATTTTTAATCGAGATAATTTCAATATTGCATAACATTTTTTCATTGTTTATTATCTTAGGAAGTGAAATTTAAATGAATTTCTTATGTTACGCAACAGATCATCATCCCCTTCAATTTTCCAGTGATTTAACATTTCTAATGATTTCTTTCTCGTTATTTACATTCAACATTCAGCAAGTCGTAAGACATTGACTTCTTGCGTCGGTCACGATGCTTCTTTTGGTTTCGGTGACGATGATTCAAAAGGTCGATGCAAATGACTCATGTGTGACATTCTCGCCAGATGTCCACCATTTAATATCATTGAATGAGTTTGTGGTGGAATTTGAGTGGCACCGGGAATCGTTGGACTCCCAACAGATGTTGTTGTGATGACGACATCGTTCGATGATTGTGATGAAGATGTTGAATTGATGCGTGTAGGCGAATTGACACGAATCCGCAATGGAGATACTTGAGCCGATGATTGACTTTGATTTAGATGGTGCTGTAGTAAAGTTTGTTGGCTTCCATTTGATTGGCCGTTTGCGACACAAGCTATCATAGCGGCCATAGCCGCACTTTGTGGCATTTGAGGTTGAGGTCTAATAAGACCAGCAGGTAAATTATAATTCGGCGGATTCTGTGCCATTGTTGCAGATGTGCCTGTTTGTGCTGACGACAAGGTTGTGCCAATCGGTGGCGAGTGTGTTGGAGAAGCGTTATCACCTAAACGATAAGGCAAGCCCGGCAGGAATTGTCGATTGAAAGCATCTGTGAGAAGAACTGGATAAATTCGTAATAATTCAAAGACATTTTATTGTAATCTCACTTGTAAATCCAGCAACATTAATATGTTCACCAAATCTAAACGATTGAAGCGATGCAAAATTTCGATAATCTTTTTCCCCACGTGGATCTCGATGTTCTTCAGCAAGTCGATCCAAATCGCGATCATTCAAACCCGACGATGAATTTGGACTGTGTTGGGATGTCATTGATGGAATTGGTGAATGAGTTCCCAATGAAATATCTGAATCTGAATCAGAATCAGAATCTGGTGAGAGTGTAGGATGAATGTGACGTCCACTCAAAGCATTCGAACCATTTCCGGATAATGGTGGCTGATTCAATCTGCAATTAAATAAATAACAACAAAAAAATTAATTCAAGGTCGGAGACGTCTCGAATATTTCAACTACTCTTATATTGAATTGTGTTACAGAGAAGAATAAAAATCGATAGACAGAAAATTAGCCCAAAGCTATAATTTCATTGCTTTCCAACTCTTTGGAGATGAAAGGGATGAAATTCTCATGTGCATTTGAACTCACACCAGCCAATCAACCCTTCATCTTCATTCGAATTTTAGAAACATGAAAACGACATAAAAATATTTATTTAACTCATTTTGATGATGTTTAATCAACTGTGGACTCTGAAAGGTCTCGTTTCTCTCTTTCTTGTCTCTTGTTAGCTGAAATGATGAGACATTTATTGCGAACCGAAAATGATATGTTACGACGACGGTTAATGAAAAAATTCTCATCTCATCATCTTTTTTTTGTGTTCCTTTTCTCGCTACATTTGGTTTCTCTTGCACCAGCTTCTGTTGTTTGTTGCTGTGTATTTACGCGATAGGGTTATAATTTGATTTCGATCTTTTGTTAGATAAAGGAAATGGGAGAAGCATCATTATTGAATTTCGATGTGGTGGACAGAGCTACCTGAAACCGATCGAAAATTTCTTTTGTTTTGGCGACGATGTGGGGGGAACACAACAAACAATATCGTCGATATGAAGTGTAGACAAATATCGATGAGAAAAGCACAAAACTTGACGCCGAGTTTACTTTGTAATTAAATATTTCGAATACACAAAATCGAAGCGCATCGCATTCTTTTTCGTTATTTAGAAACATGAATACTTTCGTGCACATCTGTAAACAGAAATGAAGTTTATTTGTTGATAAACTTCAGTTGATTTCATCCTGAATCAATTCCAGAAAGTTTATTTATATATAAATAGAAGTTTCTTAATGAAATTTACTGTTGGGTATGAAACATGAAGGAAATATTTTCAGTGCTTAAGTGACTTGTCATTGATTTAAACTCAAACACATACAAACACGCCAATGGCTGATGTTTCTCTTTATTTGAAGAACTTCTTTTCTAACATGAAATCTTAAACTTCACCATCTTGCACCGCTTTCAATCATTATTATTTATTCTCATCTTGTAAGAAACAGTGACATCAACTTGACTAACAAAAGTATAAAACAAAGAAAGTCGAACACAAAACGTTTGTTTGGTAAACATGTTTATAGTCAACATCACTCAGTCTCCAGCAGTTAAGTGTTTGTTTCCTCTTCAATTAAGAATCACTTTTGCTGCCTCAATCTATGATTCTACCTGTCGTTAAATCCATTAAAGTTAGATTGAGAAAAAAATAATGAAAACATCAGACATCTGTGACAACAAACGCGAAGTTGTCGTTGATAAGGAAGCCTGAGTTGCAGAGCTTTTGTGGTTATCAGGAAAACTTCCTTCAATAAAATCTTGTTACGTATGAAATAGAAAGAAAAATGTAATTTCAATTAGGAAATCAAATTGCTTCTTGTTTGCCCTCATGATCATTTGAACTGTAACATGATAACCATTGCATCATGTTCATTCGTATATCAGGAATCAAAGAATTAGGGATTTTCATCTCCCTTCGCTTGTATACACATTGTACATGCATTTACAAATTTTTCTTGCTTAACTCTCATGAATTTAAACAATTTTCTTTCAGTTTGACTATTAAACGAAATTATTATTCAATTACGAAGTTGAATGGAACATTAGGAAATGTTAAATCGTTGAATGTACGTCTGAAATTTGAAACTTTTTTTCCTATGTTGTTTCTTTGTGATTACAGTGAATGCTTTTAATGCTTCATGTTCATGAAATTCAAGCAGCTTATAGAATATTTTCAACCCTCACTGTGTGGTTAAATTATTGAACAAACAAGATTGTGTAATGATGAACCATCGTCAGAGAATCACGGATTATGTCAGGGATTATTTTGATATCATCATAACGGTTTCAAAGTTGGGAACTAAATAATGGTGGAATATTCAATTTAAGATTAGATACAAATTGTGGTGATTTGATGTTTATATAAAACACGTTAATGCTTGCAACAAAATTTTAATTTTCACTATAAAGCCGAAATATTTATTTAAACTTCTTAAATTTTTCATGTCCGCAAAAGCCTTCATTGACACTTCGTAATTGTCAACATCAACAATAATTCAATTTTCCATCCATCAATAACATCTCGAGACCGATTAATGTCAGGTAAACATGTCTATTCTATTATCGTGTGTGAAATGTTCATGTTTTCTTACAATATCAACACAACATTAAGGGTGTGAAAGGAATAACAAAAAAAAAAGATATTAAGACGTAAAGTTACACACTACAAGACGCAACAGGGAGAATGTGAAAGGAAAATCAAATTTACTGAACAGCAATCAAACTCAATATCCCTTTGTGTCCTTTTTCTATCGTCCAACTTCTTGTTGATCCTTCATCAAGAACATTGTCGATAATTTCCAGTAAATCAAATTTAAATTTAATTGTACCAACAATAACATAAAAACCTCGAGTATCGCTTTAACATTTTCCCACTTTTCTTAGGTCTTGTGAATGACATATGAAGGGACCGAAGTTGAGTCGCTAGAAATCTGATTTATTTCCCACTTTTACTGCCCCAAAGGCATCAAATCACAAAAATTGCTTTCACCAAGCTTCCCTCAAAATCGACTTTTTTATTTTCCTTATTTCGTTTGTTCATGAAAATTTATTCAAATTTTTCATTATTTACATCCTAACGTCATTACTATGTTCTTTGTTCCGAAAATATAACATTACAAATCAAATCATCCACATGCGTGACATCTCGAGATATTGTCGGGAATATTGCTTGCCACAAAACATCGTAATCATCGTATAAATTCCAACTTGATTATGATAATAAATTGACAAAGTTCATCAAAATTTATTAACTTGTCTCTTTTGAACTGTTTCACCGAAGTATTTTCATTTTGAATGAGTTTATCAAAAGTACGAGTTTCAATCTCCAGATATGATACACGAGAAAACATTGAAGGCAGAGAGAAGTTGCTTGAGGCGAAAAGACTGTGATTATATCACAATGAAATCCTTTCGCATGAGAGGACACATCAACAATTAAATTTGTATGTTTTGTGAAGACTTTAAACGAGATTGACTTCAACTTGTTGTAAAATAAATTTTTAAAGTGTTTTAAAAAAATCAGCTAAAAGAAGAAAGTTTGAATCTTCCTTTTGAAAAAGTAATCAAAACAATTTCCTTTTTGTAGGATTTTTTATTTCATGTAATTCTCAACCTTTCCATGAGTAGATTGATGCGTATAAGCTTTGGTCTTGATCTAATCCACATTCAAATCCCTCATTCTTCTCATCTGTTCATTAAATATAGTCTTGGAAAAGAAAATTTGATTTTAGAAGAAAGATTACTTTTCAAGAAAGGATTTTCCATGTCAGTTACCTTAATCGAATCATGGATTGTCTATGACTTCAAGCAGTCTTCAAAGATCTTCTTTTTCGGTTGCTAACTTTGACAGTTTTTGCAAGTTTAACAATAATTGAAAAAATGTTCATCACTAAATCATTTTTAACTTGTTTTAAAGAGAATAAAAATGAATTTTCATTCAGACTTTTCCGTATTGTATCAAATGTTGTGTCAAAAAAGAAAATTATAGAGGAAAATCTATGCTTTCCTTGCTTCAATTCAAGAAGAAATAATAACAGTGTCAAATGGATTTTATACTGAAACTCAATTCATAGTCTTTAATCAAAACAATGTCAGAGATAATATAAAAGAGGGAAATTGAATGAGACACCTTTACGGCTATTCGAAACGAAAACTTTTCCCAACTCTTTTTACATTTGTAATCTTGGTTGAAACAACATAGCTCAGATTTTCCTGGAGAAAAGTAGATTCCTATTTCGTTGTGGAATAACAAAGGAAACAGATTGAAATCAGAGTATTTTTTATCAGAGACGAAGACTTCATGTTTGTTGAATATTTAGTGCAACAGAGATTTGAATTATAATGAACTCACTCAAACTAAACGTCTTAATCAAATATCTTAACATCAACTGCCACCCTCATAGCAATGACTTCAAGGAAGGGATTAAAACCTTTTTTTCTTCCTTTTTTTCAATATCAGCCTTTCACTGAAATATGTAGATCTCAAAGATAAACATTACTTCTGTCGATATATTTGCTTGTTCATTTGCTTTTCTCTCACTTCATCCTTTATTCCACAACTCTATCCGATTTCAACTTTTTTCTACTTTACTACAATAACACGAATCCCTTTTTTGCACTGACACAACACGCTGGAACATTTGATGAAAATGTCACTTTACAGCGTAAAAATTACACGCTATTTAACCCTCAATAGATGATTGAAAATAGATCTTCACAGTCAACTGAACCAGGGTGATGGAAGGTGGGATGAAAGAAATTTATTTAAATTGTAAAGCGGATGTATTTTATGAATTCGATGAATAGATAAATTGAAGATAAATGAGTGATTGCTGCTTATTTTCAGTCTTTTTTTCCACATTGATATTTCAACTTCACTCTAGAACTGATTTTCATATGAAATATCAAACATAAGTCCACGGCAACATAATTTCAAGAGATGATTGCGTGCATATTTTTAATGCGTCAACTCATTTGTAACAATTCGATGAAGTGCGATAAAGATCATTTGTAAACTGCTCGTGTAACTGTCAGTCCCTCTTGAGTATGAAGCGTTGTGAAAAAAAAATTAATTTCAACATTTCACACCCTCACACTTCCCTCTATTGTTCCTTTTGTGATCTAAAAATGCTTCCTCGTCTTTTTTTCTTGTCGTAATTTTATTGTGTAACATTTTAATCTCTTTAAGCATTCTGATCTTGTTTTTTGATTGCTTCAAATTGCTGTTTACTTTGAGGGTCGGATTTTTCTTTCTTATTCTTGTGACGGAAAGAAAATTTCTCTCAAAAAGCAGTGAAAATTTTCATCATGAGATTTTAAACAAGTTGGAGATAAATGCAGGGTTAAATTTACATTGAAACACGTGTAATATCGTTACATCTTTCAACCAAGATCTACTGAAGACATCTAAAAAGATGAAACGATGTCAAGTCTCACGAAAGTCACTTTTGATTCTTTGCGCTTGACTGTGCTTTGTAACGAATATTGAATCGCATTTTTTACACCCCAGTTACACTTGATCCGAAATGTTTTTTGGTAAGACAGTCAAGATGTCGATAATGAACACATGTAAATGCCAGACTTAAGAATCATCTGATAAATAGAAGAAAATTTCGCATTAAAAATCTCGTTCGTTAATGAAATTCACATCAGATTTCATCATGAATATTCAATGAGATGATTTTGAAAGTGAAAATATAAAAAACAAAGCATTAAAAATCTGCCATGCTCCTAAATTTAACAACGTCTGCCTTGGCTTGTCTTTCCTTCCCATCTCATTTTTGACTTTTAATGTAACCTCATTTCAATTATTTTCTGCTGCATTAAACATTCGCCTTAACAGCTAATGGGATGTTTAAACGAAAATCACCAGCGAATTGGGAGATGAGTTATTTA